GCATAGATGGTAGGTATAAAAAAAAAATCGCAAACTATGTCCATATTCGTCTCTACACTGGATCTAAAACTCTGATCGAGCAATCCAATAACAATATGATGGCCATGACAAAATCACCAATCACGATCAAGCAATGGTAATATTCAATGTCATCGCAAATATTGCATCACTGTCGTCGCGCTATCACACCGTCGCGTCATCGTAATTGTCTCATCCTCGAGAACTGGCTCGAAGGCGTGATGTCGCGATGGCTACCCGAATTCTATAACTTTCCATTCGCATTTAAAACAGTGAATCTGAGCAGGCGTGTCGATTGGCACTACAACTACTGAAGAAAAAAATAATCATCATTGAACAAATATATACACATCCCTTTTTTCGCTTTTCTTTACAATCACTGCTTCGATAAGAATTATTAAATGATAACATCTGCAGAATTTGGTGTCACTCAAAAGATCAGGGTCAATCTATTGATATATTATACTTTCATGTAAATTAGTTGAACCTGATTCGTCGAGAAACATTTGTTAAAAAACACTATTACCCGCTGAATGTTGAAGCCACGCCCTCCAGCGTAGCAACAGTCAACATTGCTTGACGACGGGTGATATTCCAAAAAATAGTGACTGCGCAGAATTTATGCGCGCAAGGTTCACTATTATATGTATCTTTATAAAACAATCAGTATAATATAATAAATATTGCATGTAGTTGAATGTAACATTGAAAATTTTCACCCCTTGAAATTCATTGTCAACCTCGGCTGCGCCTCGGTTGACAATGGTTTTTTGGGGTGAAAATTTTCAATGTTACACTCAACTACATGCAATATTTATATAATGCCTGCATTAATGCCCCCCCCCCCCCCCCATACGATTTTTAATCGTGCATGAAAAGTAACAATTAACCGGTTTAATTGCATGGCAGAACATTTTTCAAAAAAAAAAAATCATTAAAAAAAGTGATCTCAAAGTTTGAATCGCTACGATCCCAAAGATATTAGCAAACTCTCTAAAAGACTCCCAAAAAGTGCAAAAAGATTTTAAAACTATTTCTTGAATTTCCAAATTATCTTTCAAAAGAACCGCAAATTGTTTGAAGAACAAAACGACTTATTCTGCAACTCTGTAGCTTTGATCCCTTATCAATTCTAATTTTATCATCTCCTTACATGTGATTTCACCTACAAACATCTTTATTCAATAAACTTATGCAAAATGTCAAATCTCGATATCTGGAATGTAAATTAAGATTTAACTTCATGATAGAGGGTAAAAAAACAAAGAAAACGTAGGTAATCAATGATTACAGAGATCATCGCAACGAATGTTATCATTAAGTAAGGCAAAGTCCCACACTAACTAATAATCTAGTTGTGTGCATCCCTAAATGCAACATTTATAATGCAATTTTGGTCTAATAGGGCTTGCAGTTACTTGGGAATGGACTTGTTCTAAAAACTTTAAACTAGTCACTCATCTAGAAAATGTAACTAAAGTCAAATCCAGCATCTGAATCAAGTTTGAGAGTGTTCATCCCTTGATGCATCATCCATGTGTGGCTCAGGTAAACCTTATAGTTGGTATGGACCTGCTTCAAAAACTTTAAAACTGGTCACTCATCTGGAAAATTTAAGTCAAATGCAGCATCTGAAGGAACTCTGGTAGTGTGCATCCCTTACAATTAATGCATCATCCATGCAAGTCTGGTTCAGGTAAGCCTCATAGTTTCTTGGTTCTGGACCTGCTCTAAAAACTTTAACCTGATTACTCATCCAGAAAATACAGGTCAAATCCTACATCCAAAGTAACTCTGGTAGTATGCATCAATAAATGTATCTTCAATGCAAAGTTGGTAAGCATAGGGCTTACAGTCACTTTAGAAAGAAACCGCTCTTAAAACTTTTACCTGGTCGCTCATCCGGAAAATGTAGATCAGATCCAGCAACCAGAGGAAAATCCAGCAGTGTGCATCCTTAGATGTATCATCAGTGCAAGTTTGGTCAACTTAGGGCTTTTAGTTACTGTAGAAGGAACCATCACTAATCCAGAAAAGAGGCCCAAGGGTCTTTACTGTCACCTGTGTATAATACAACAATTTAGAGGATCCAAATAAGTATAAAATAAACTGAAAGATGACGCTTTATTGCCCCAAAGCAAGAGAAATAGGATGGACAGGATCAAGGAAATAATTAGTCTGGTACTCAGTAACAACTCATAAGGCCAAATAAAAAAATATGTGTGGTTCCGGTTACCCGACCTTCCCTATTTTATACCCCCGACCCTAAACTTTTTTTTGGCAATTTTCATATTTTTTCCGGAATTTTCCCCAATTTCCATCAATGGCAGTTTCAGCAATGAAGGCCTCCTTGCAAAACATAGTTTAATAGTGTTAAATCCAAAGCAAACTAGCATGTAGGTGTCCCCTACCAATATTGACTAGTATATTATCACACCACATCTAAATGCCATTTGCAAAGCAGTGATAGGTATTATTTCTACAGAAAAAATTAAGAAAATCATTTTGTTAAAAAAAAAAAAAAAAAAAAAAAAAAATCCCTACCTAACTACCCTAATTTTTATGGAGGTGTAACCGGAACCAGACATATTTTTTTGTTTGGCCTAAAGTAAGTTCCTCTTGCCCCCAATTATCACTATCATCATGCAGACTATTAACAAAACAATAGTTCTTCAGTACAATTTTAACCCTATATTATAACCTCTCACATCATAATTTTAAACAAAGCTGAAGATTTTCAAAGAATCGAAAAATTAATTCACTTAATTATCAATACAGCCCCCTCTCCTCTCCGAGAAACAACAGAACCCCTGACTCTGGGGCCACAAGTTTTAAAAATTTTGGAAGAAGCACCCTTGCTCATCATAACTATGCACTTTGTTTATCTGCTCAAAACCCAGGAGCAGACAAAATTATTTAATAGAATTAATACATTTTTACTATATTATCAATAGATCCCACCCTTACACCAGATTATCTGACCAAGGGGCAATGAAACTTACAATTCTGGTAGAAGGCCCCTTGCTCATCATATCTATGCACTTAGTTTTTTTGCTTTATAACTAGGAGCAGAAAAGAATATTTTCAAAGAAATTATGCATTTTCACTATATAACCAATACAGCCCCCCCCCCCCCCCCTTCATCAGAATCCCTAGGGTCAGGAATTTCACAATTTTGGAAAAGGCATCCTTGCTTATCATAACCATTACCATACACTTAGTTTGTTTACATAATACTCAGGAGCAGAGAAGATTTTCAAAGAATTAATGCATTTTCACTATATAATCAATCGAGCCCCCCCCCCCCTTCACCTGACCCCTAATGCTGGGGCCATGAATTTCACAATTTTGGAAGAGGCATCCTTGCTTTCATAACCATGCATTAAATTTGTTTTACATAATACCCAGGAGCAGAGAAGAAGATTTTCAAAGAATTGACATTTTCACTATATCATCAATATAGCCCCCCCTCCCCAAACACCAGGACCCCTGACCCAGGGGTCCTGAAATTCACAATTTTGGAAAAAGCACCCTTGCTGATCATAACCATATACTTAGTTTGTTTACATAATACCTAGAAGCAGAGAAGAAGATTTACAAAGAATTAATGAATCTTCACTACATAATCAAAGGAGCCCCTCCCCCTTTAACACCAAGACCCCTAACCCAGGGGCCATGAAATTCACAATTTTGGAAGAGGCATCCCTGCTGATCATAAACATATACTTAATGTTTACAAAATACCCAGAGCAGAGAAGATTTTCAAAGAATTAATGCATTTTCACTTTATAATCAATAGAGCACCCCAAACACCAGGACCCCTGGCTTAGGGGCCATGAAATTCACAGTATTGGAAGAGGCACTCTTATATACTCATCATAATTATATACTGGTTTGTTTGTTTAATAGACAGGAGCAGAGGAGAAGATTTTCACAGAAATAATGCTCTTTCACTATATATTCAGTAGACCCCCCTCCTGCAGAACCCCTCACCCTGAGCCATAAATTTCACAATTTTAGAAAAGGTACCCTTGCTCATCATAACATATTCTTAGTTCAGTAGACCCCCCTCCTGCAGAACCCCTCACCCTGAGCCATAAATTTCACAATTATAATCAATAGAGCCCCACCCTAACGCCAGAACCCCTGTCCCAGAGACCATGAATGTCACAATTTTGGAAGAGGCACCCTTACTCATCAACTACATACTTGGTTTGTTTAATAAACAGGAGCAGAGAAGATTTTCAAAGAAATAATGCACTTTCACTATAAAATCAATAGAGCCCCCCTCCCACAGAGCCCCTCACCCTGGGGTCACACATTCACAATTTTAGAATAGGCACCCTTGCTCACCATAACTTATGTACTTAGTTAGTTTGTTCAACACACAGGAGCAGAGAAGATTTTCAAAGAAATAATGCATATGATCTACATAGCCCCATCCTAGCACCAGGACCCCTGGGGGCAGGGACCATGAAATTCACAATCTTTGTTCTCCTTCACCAATAGATGCATTATGCCAAAATTGGTTGAAATCGGTTCAGCAGTTCCAGAGAAGCTGAAAATTTTCTAGCTGAAATTGAAGCATATGAAACTTTGACTGATACAATGAAACAATAAGTAAAAGCATCCATCATGATCTCTGATTAATATAGGGCATAGAATTACTTGATAAGAAATCTGCTCAAAAAACTTTAACCTGGGACGCCGATGCCGACACCGAGGGTATAACCATATTACATAAGCTCCCCCCAACTTTGTTGAGGTGAGCTAAACAGTAATTGGTACTGCCAACTCACTTTGACATATCCCTGGTATTCCATATATTGGTGTTGGAGATAACAAAGTATAACTATATTTGTATAGAATGATTTGACCCAGGAAAAAAAGCAAACTCTCTTTTCAAATTCATTCTAATGTGAATATCAATGTTTTCTTGAAAAGAAAATTGTAACTGAATTCAAAAGTACAATGACAATCACTTCAAATTAACTTTTTATTCAGAAAAAGATTTCATCCAAAATAGATAAATCTGGTTTATTAGTGAGCTCAGTTTTTTTAAGTTTAGGTGAATCTCTATCATCAAATTCAGTCCCGCGTTTTCTTCGTGATTTTACAGTCTCTGTATGTACTGTGTTAGAGTGTTTAACCTGATGCTGATTTGATTTCAAGTGAGTCCTTGTAAACACATGGGATGGACCTGGTTCCTGAGAATCGGGGAAAACGCCTTTAGAACCACTCTTCATGTAAGACTTTGTTTCTGTTAAGTCCTTGTCAGTTTTACGAAAATGTATGGATTCAAATCCAGATGATTCACCAATTTTTAGAACTACTGATTTAGACTGAGGTAACTCCTCGTCTGTAAAATTCAAAACTTTTCGCGGAGCAATTCTGTCATTAGTGGTATCAGGTAAAACTATAACATCTTGATTCCTGGATTCCATTTCTTCATTCTTCAGCTGAAATCTACAAGTAAGGAAAGGACATATCAATGATAAATGATCAATAAAATTCGTAGCATAGTAACATTCAAGATAAAGATTTTTTTTTCTGTTTACCGTTTTCTGGTCTTCCGAGGGCTGGCTTTCCTGATCCCCGTCTCTGCCATCAGATCGTTCAGTACAGAGCTCTTTCTGCTGGCCGTCTGTCTGCCTGCTCCCCCCATATCACCATCTAACTCCTCCACAGTATCGGTTACAGCCACTTTTCTTGATTTCCCTCTGGAGTTACGACTATTTGATGACATGTTTGTTTCTGCCTTTTGATTAATTTTAGTCTTCTTGGATAAAACATTTACTAAACTCTCATCAGATTCTCTCAGCACATCTGTTCTGCCTGCCTGTAAATTGTAATAAACAATCCTATAGAATGATAGTATTTGTATCACATATTTTCCCTCTGATTATTCCCAATGGTCGCCATCTTGGACATCAAACTGGTGATTTTCCTCTTTGAACAACCAGTTTATACATATATGACAGAAATATAGGATAAAAAATCTTTACAATATTTGACACTTTGACAAATGTATATTCATAAAACAGTGTTATCTACACGTCCCAGCTTTAAATCTGTTGGTTAATGAAGGAATCAGGCCATGTTGAACTCCAATATGACGGCTAACAGGACGTAACTCTTGCTAAAATCACATTTTGATGGTAATGGTTCCTTGGTTTGATGTGTTTACAGAGGATAAATATCAATACATCACATTATCTTCATATCTTTGTCATAATGGAATAACTTCTTAAATATACTGTGTCATTAGACTAGTTCAGTGTCAATATATACCTGCTTCAAAACATCTTTAGCAATTTCTAACAGCTCCTCTTCTGTCATTACATATATTGTTTGTCTGGAAACAAATTTTCAGAAAAAATACAAAACATGAGATATATTTTCCCCCTGACTTTTTATCTCTGAAGTTTTATCACGGTGCATACTGACTCTTTGTCAATCTATGTAATCTTTCTGTATATATTCATACATAAATTCATTGAACATTATAGGGTTATTTAACTTATTTTGGTGAATATTGGCACAAGCTTGCAAGTGCATTTTTACAGCCAACCAGTACCAATATTCACCAATTTCCAATGTACGTTCAGTAAGTCCTTTGTTATATAGTAAAACACTTTCCTATTGATTTATATTAATTATTTAAATGAAATATGTGTAACTTTAAATTAATGAGAATTATTTAATATTAGTATCCACATTAAAGGTGTCAATATCAATGTCTGTTCTGGAAGTGTACAATATCACATCATTCCAATGACCCAACCAAGCGTTATGATTTGCTTATTTAGACTTTTATTGTGGCTTACAGGCAATACATTATTAAATATTTTAGATTTGCTGTATTTTTCTACTTAACCAACTATGAAATTGATTTTAATGTCACTTTCGTGTATATTCACACTGTGGAAATACACACAAAGAAATCTGCGCTAAAGTGATGTCACTATGAGCTACAGAGATGTTAAAAAAATTTAACAATATAAGGCAGCAAGACATTCAAACATTGAGTATATTTTTGGTGCTTTTAAACATGTAAAATGTAAATATAAGGAATGTTTTTAAGTTTAGTGTGAATTATTGGTGTGTAAATAACACAGACTTGCAGGTAGGCATATTTTTCATGAAGTGCTTGCGCACTTCATGAAATATTCCTACATAATAAGTCTGTGTGATTACACACCAATAAATCACACAAAACTAAACATGCCTTAATTATTTCAATTTTCTGTGGTAACAAAAAATTTTATCTCACTGCTACTGCCCATCATAAATCTTACCATCGAGCAAGTGACCAGGTGACATTTTTTTGTTTATAACGGCTTGTTCAATATTGAATGCTCCCATTCAGAATGTTTTGGGGCAAAATTGTCTCAGTAATTATCTGGACTCTATATTCCTCCAGCTTCCATCCTTACACATTACACCTAGACCCCCCTTTACTTTCCTTGTCCCTCTTATCTCACTGCAACTGCCTATCATAAATCTTACCATTGAGCGGGTGACCAGGTGACATTTTTTGGTTTAAAATGGCATGTTTGATATTGACCTTGCATTCAGAATTTTTTGGGGCATACTTGTATACATAATGCAAAGTCAATGTTCAATAAAACACAATGATATTGAACATTTATTATGATTCTCTAGAATTTTAGTAGATTTATATCATAGACTATTACCCGTATCTATATAATAAAATTGTCTCAATAATTATCTGGACTCTATATTCATCATTACAGTACACCTACATCCCCCCTTTACCTTCCTTGCCCCTCTGTGGAGCTGGAACTCTCAGTCCGCTGTAGAATCGTTTTGGAATGTGTGGACTTTTTCACTGGCGGTGTTTCTTTTCCCATCATCCATGAGGGCAGTTTTCTGGAGGATTCATTTAAGGATGTGTTCAATGAAGTATTACATTCTCGTTCTTTCTCCTCGTCTTGTGTGTAGATGTTCTCTGGTTGTTTAAGTACTGATACACAGCTCTGGTACAGATCTTGATAACTTTAAATAGAAAGGAGTCATGTACAAAAATATCTTGATAAACTTCTCTGTTTCAATCTGACACTGATGCAACTTTTGAAGAGAGTAACTTTAAATATTTTACCTCAAAACAATTTTGAAATCTTTTGCAAAAATAAACTCCTGTCTCCCGTATGGGAGAACACACTTCATGTTGCCGTTCAGGAAATTCTCCTCCTCTGTAACACATGGGAGATTAGGTCTTTCGAGTGTTTTCTGGTCTGTAGGTAAAATCTCCATTGTTTTCAGGTATTCTGGGACAGTGGACCGAGTAATCACATGACTACCAATGACCTAAAATAAAGTTAACTACACATCATGTATTACATTGCTCATAAAATCAGTTTTTCTCAATAGTATTTTTCTATAAATTTTCATCCTGATTGCCAAACTGCTTTTGATTATTGAGAATTACTCTAAATTTATTAAATAATTCTTTCCTTGCAGAGGAATTTTGATAAAAAAAAAAGTAAGTTAATGTAACTCCTGCCTTTCTCCTCAGTCACCATGTAGGACAGATTCAACATCAAACAAAAAAATAAAAACATTCACAATGCAGTGTAGCCTGTGTAGGTTTGGTTTGTATGCTGTGGAATCATTAAAATTTATGAGGGCCAATTTTCGTCAATTGCGTAAATTTAAAAGGTTCGTGGAATTGCAATAGGAAATATGACTTTGCAACCCTAATTCATTAATTCATGGAGAATGTTAATTCATGTATGAGAGGTACCCACAAAATCCAGGAAAATTGAGCCACCATGAAATCTAATGATTCAACAGTATTACATGTACTACGCTAACATATTCTCAGACATTGATCTTAAGCAGTGTCACTCCATTGTATAATGTAACCATGTCAGATACAGCCCCTGAATCTTGCATCAGACGGAACATTTATTTTTGTACAATGAATACTTGTCTGGTTTGCATATTTCTTATTATAAGATAGAAGCATGTCTAAATGCCAGGCCTCTAGTAATGGTTTCAAAAGTTGGGGGGACAACTTCCGAAAAAAAATCTGACAAACAAAAAAAACAACCTAAATTGACCAAAGGGGGGGGGGGGGGCAACTTAACAAAATTATCTGACAAGCAAAAAAAAGTGGGGGGCCAGGCCAAGCCCCCTCCCTCCCGTCGCACTTTCAGTTTCTACGGGCCTGAATGCTGAACTTAACCAGAATCATTCAACCATAAAATTTAGGTCAGACACAGCATTTGATCCTTGCATCAGATCAAGCATTAGTAGATGCTGTAAAGTTTGGTTTTTATACAAGCCTGGACCATATCCTGATGCTAACCTTAAAACCAGTAAGTCAATCCTTAAATGTGAATCAGATGCATTGTTTACAAAATACTTTAATTTAAGTATCCATAGATCTATGCACAATATTATCCAAGTCGGCTAAAGTATGAAATAATTAAACCTAAACTTTACTGATCACACAGGTGTATTAAATGTAGAATACAGTATCCTGTGTATGTTGTAAACAATGTAGCACAGTAGTAATTTAATATGTATTATATATACATCCAAGTGGTTATAAGCCAGTTTGGTTGGATAAGAACCAGAAAGTGCTATATAAATTAATAAACTGAGCTTATAATCTCGCATCTACGGACCTACTAACATGGTGCTTCCAGTTTATCCCATATAATTCCATTGTAGAGGATATTAAATGGATATCTAATATGTAGGTTTTATACTCACCAGAGCTGGATTCTGTATCTCATATAATTCCATTGTGGAGGATATTAAATGGATATCTACTATGTAGGTTTTATACTCACCAGAGCTGGATTCTGTATCCCATATAATTCCATTGTGAAGGATATTAAATGGATATCTACTATGTAGGTTTTATACTCACCAGAGCTGGATTCTGTATCTCATATAATTCTATTGTGGAGGATAATAAATGGATATCTAATATGTAGGTTTTATACTCACCAGAGCTGGATTCTGTATCTCATATAATTCCATTGTGGAGGATATTAAATGGATATCTACTATGTAGGTTTTATAAATGAATGTCTACTATGTAGGTTTTATAAATGGATATCTACTATGTAGGTTTTATACTCACCAGAGCTGGATTCTGTATCCCATATAATTCCATTGTGGAGGATATTAATGGATATCTACTATGTAGGTTTTATACTCACCAGATCTGGATTCTGTATCCCATATAATACCATTGTGGAGGATATTAAATGGATATCTAATATGTAGGCTTTATACTCACCAGAGCTGGATTCTGTATCTCATATAATTCCATTGTGGAGGATATTAAATGGATATCAACTATGTAGGCTTTATACTCACCAGAGCTGGATTCTGTATCCCATATAATTCCATTGTGAAGGATATTAAATGGATATCTAATATGTAGGTTTTATACTCACCAGAGCTGGATTCTGTATCTCATATAATTCCATTGTGGAGGATATTAAATGGATATCTACTATGTAGGTTTTATACTCACCAGAGCTGGATTCTGTATCCCATATAATTCTATTGTGGAGGATATTAAATGGATATCAACTATGTAGGTTTTATACTCACCAGAGCTGGATTCTGTATCCCATATAATTCCATTGTGGAGGATATTAAATGGATATCTACTATGTAGGCTTTATACTCACCAGAGCTGGATTCTGTATCCCATATAATTCCATTGTGGAGGATATTAAATGGATATCTACTATGTAGGTTTTATACTCACCAGAGCTGGATTCTGTAGAATCTGAGTTATCTGCAAAGAAAGTGCAGCAAGGCTCAAAATGTTGATAAAAATGCTTGAGTCTTGTGTCATTTTATTATTTTTTTTCATAGACATCATCTACTGAAATGTGTAATTGTCTTTACATATACAATGCTAATCGGAAATACTTGTAGTTGTCTTTGCAAATGCTTTATATCAGAAATAGTTGCCTTTCTGTGTGCAATGCTGAACTGAAATAATTGTGCTTAGCTGAATTCATGTTCACTTTAATAAGTGAATCTAAGGCACAGGTGAAAACACTGACCTTGACACAGTTCAAGCCGGCAGCTCTAGCCATGGTCATGTGATCTTGGTTGCTGTATATATACACAGTTTTCTAGAAAAAACAAAAATAAAGTCTATTCCATTTTTTCCCTAGAAATATGTACATGCCTGAAAAGTGATCTTGAGGCTAAAACAATTTATATGTAAATGTTATTTCCTACTCTGGGCTTTACAATTTATGTCCAGTTAATTTTCAATTTAACAGTTTTCATTTGAAAGAAACATAGATAAAATTCTTATTTAATATAACTTTTTTTGCAAACTTCACATCACATCTATCAGATCAACATTGTATGTTTACTTACACTGGATTTAAACCACCCTCCCCAACTTACTTTCAGAAAGTCCAAAAAACTTTGAGAAACTTAAATTTGACTAAAATCATATTCTCTAATTTTTTTTTACACAACAGTTGTAAGTGTTGTATATTACATTTCTACCAGTAGTAAGCCTACTTACAGTACTGTGTAGAAATAAATGGTGTCTCTTTTGTAAGAAAGCCAGAATCCCTGGATTAGGAGGCTCAGAGAAGATCCCTGCAGCAGGCGGATCAACAATGTGGAACAGATAAATAGGAAAATCCAGCTACAATATAATAGCTTCTCTACAATGTAATAACTGGGAAAATCAAGCTATAATATATCTTCTCTACATGACTAGTAACTTGGAAAATCAAGCTATAATATACCGTATAAGCAGAATTTTTAGTTAGGATTGAATTTTGGCAATATTAGCAAAGGTTCTAAGATCACTAAAATTGAATATCGCTAACAATTAATTTACAGTAAAACACGCTTATAACAAAGTGCCGGGGCGGACATTTTTGCTTCGTTATAAACGTATTTCGTTATATCCTATATACACTATAAATTAAAGTCACAGCTAGGTAATAAAAATCTCTTCTCTGTAAGTGTCAATTTATCATAAGCATCTTCACTATTAGCGTGTTTTACTGTATTCCATATTGGTTGTTAGAGATATCTTGACATTATAAAAACACTTAAATTACTTCTCGCTAAAAATGTTCACCAATTTTTTGGGATAAATCGCTAAATTTGTGTCTCACTAAAATTCCTCTTATATGGTAATATCTTCTCTACATGTCGTAACTTATATGGTAATATCTTCTCTACATGTCGTAACTTATATGGTAATATCTTCTCTACATGTCGTAACTGGTCAAACTTTTTAGATTATGATATTCTGGTTACTATTAAGTTCTCGGGTGACATACCAGAATACTGTATGTGTACTTAAAAAAGCAAGCTTCATATTTTAGCGGCTTTGGCGTGGACAAATAATGTGCTAATTCATGAATACCACTAAGAAATCATTTATAAATACAATACATGGCACAGCTACCGGTATGTGTAGCTAATTCATGATTATGCCAACAACTCCATACCCAGTGATTGCACTAAATTTTGAATATGCCAATTTATGTACACGTACATTATTTGCCCCTCAGTGACAGGAAAGTCCTCAGGGCCTGGTGTGTTATGTCTCCCTCTGCCTTCGGCATTGGGTGACATAACACTCCAGGGCTTTCCTGTCACCTTAGGGCAAATATTCTGGTATGTCATTCTTGAAGCCATGTGATATACTTTTATATAGGTCATTCTGAGATTACGGATTTACATCGATGACTAAATGTACCTTTTTTTTCTTGGTAGGAGCATTTAGTGTCTTGTCTATAATTGGTGAGGAACAGAGTTTTTCTTGGTAAGGAGCAATGAAGATGAGGGTATCATGAGTGCAGTTATTAGCTCTGCCTACTGCAATTTGATTGAACGATGGTTTGTCAAATCCCCTGCATAATACCTAGTTACCCACTGTCATATACATGTTGTTTGTTTCAATGATAGAATAGAGTGGACGATAGCTCAGAATTTTACGAAGTGCGAAAAGAAACACCTTAAAGATTAAATAGCTACAAAATATTGAAAAATTTTTTTATTTCTAACCTGCTTTGCTAACCTTGTCAGCAAATGTAGAATTTCCTCTATAGATTCTTTGTTACCTAAAATTAAAGCTTAAAACTTGGAAATTTGCACTACAGACAGTCACATTTTTTGCACATATAAATCTGTTACACATTTCCCCAAAAATGTATATGTGTATGTGCATATGTCTTTCATAATTGAATAATAAAGTAACATGGTAATTGCAATTATCACTTCAAGATCTTTTATTTACCAACTATAAAATCACTTATTTTCTTGGGGTCAAATTTTTGTAGTTCAAGGAAAAAATAAAGGATTCTGGATGGATTTCATTTCGTGGTTCGTAGTCAAACATGTTTTAGGGGGTTATGAAGTTTAAACATTTTGTGGAGAACATGAATTTATTGGTCCTTTCATACTACGAAACCAACAAAAAATAACCTCCCACAAAAATTAGTGATTTCCTAGTATTTAATGATTTTCATACCATACTGAATGAAGATAATTCTTCCTACAGGATTTTGTTCATTCCAGTGGATACATATCTGTTTCATCCCTTTCTTAAGATTCAGTGAGCCATCAGATGTGTGATATATTGCTTCAATCTGTATCAGCAGACCTGGGATATCAAACTGAAATAAGGGAGATAATTTCTTGAGCAAATTTCTGTAAGTCTAATAAACTTTTATCATTACTCTTCAGAGGCTTGGTAAATAGGTTCCTTGTAGAGTTTTTTGACCCATTTAAATTGAAAAAGAATTGAAGATTGCTTAATAAATTTCTTGATACCTTGAATGCAGAAAAGGTTTCCAGATGTGATTTTTTATTAAATACTTTATATCCCTCCTCTTCGTCAGGTTCATCATCTAAACAGTAATTGGGTTAAAATGAGTTAATTATGCGTAGAAGTAAAATATGCTAATGACGTATGATTAGTAAAATCAACCTTAAAGAATTGGCATCTAACATTTGCCTTCTTGTCTATTACATTTGTATGTGCTTGTAACATGCATGTATTAACAGACATATAAAGTACTTGCTTGAGCTGTAAACCACTTGGCCGGTTGTTGGATCAAACCAGGAAGAAATCTCTGGGTAGCTGACTGTCACTGTATTCTCCTCATTAAGACATACTTCCTGGTTCCACAACACTTGGGCCTCCCCATATTTTGGTAAAAGACTAATAAGAGCCACAGTCTTCTCTGGAAGCTGAAAAGTACCCATCTACTACATGTCTTAATGAATCTTAAACTCCAGCTTTCATTGAAGTAACAAAGTGCATTTTGTAGGTTAATTCAAATTGCTACTTTAAATTGGTTTACTTTGATTAACAAGTGAACAGGTGCAATACAATACATGTATATTTAATTCATTTTACCTTTTTCTGAATCATCCTGAGGTATGCAGATCTTTTTGCAAAACTACCATTTTCATCATCTACAACCACTTTCTGGTTCTAACAGAATTTTTAAAATTATTTAAATTTAGGAAGAAATTGTAGAATAAAATGACAGCATCCTGAAAATATATTAAACTAAAAGTTCATGTTTATCATTTGTAAAGGTTACCTGCTTCAAACACTTATGTACATTTAGAACAATATCTCTAAGTCCATATTCCTGGTGTAATGAAAATATATGCTTAGGAATAATCCTAACATGGTCCTTGCTGAGAAATCTCTGGTAGTACACGTCACTCCCCTGAATAAATAAATCATAATGATTATCCTATCAAGCAAACTACACTGACTGTACTCATTATTTCCAGTTATGAATATACCAAGTTTATCATGTTTATTAACAAATCTTACAGTTAGTTCATGGTAAAACAACAGAAAATTGTCACGAAATATTTGCTTCTTTAAATATAGTTTAAACCTTTACCAGAGATGTAAATAATATACATATATTGGCTGGGGGTTGAGGGCAACTGCAATTGATTATGTTAACCCCAGAGGGAAGAAAGGTTGCCCAAAAATACAGTCAGTAATTGCTTTGTTATGTGAAAAACAAAATACTGTCAGTAATTGCAACAAATCAATAAAATAGTATTTTGATTTCATTCATTAAAATTCAGCAACTCATTTATATGCAATATTTGATTATTTTGTAAACAAAACAACAAAACACCTGTTTATGGTAATGTTTATTCTTCCGCTAGAGAGGGATTATCACGCTCTAGCGAGATGATCTCTCTACAGGGGAATTGTTCCTAACCTAGAGAGGGATAATCGCGCTCTAGCGAGATGATCTCTCTACAGGGGAATTGTTTCTAACCTAGAGAGGGATAACCGCGCTCTAGCGAGATGATGTATGTTATGTAGTCTCTCCGTTATTATAAATACATTTTGAAGCTTTGCATTGCATCAATTTTAACACATTATCTTAGATATTTCATGACAGAAATGAAGTTGCTATTAAGTTTGTTATATAACATATAAAATCAAGAATTACTGAAAAAGGTGGTCCATGCATCAAAATACAATCAAACTTTGCCGCCATCTTGAACCACTTGTATCAACAATTTATAAAAAACGATGACGGGTTATGCTGCAAAATTCAAATTACACTTATTTTTTGTCCTGTTTTCATGAATTATCCAATGGTGTTATGTGACTTACTCTTTAAATACGCTTGTATTATTTAATGTTTTAATCATTAAAATAAATGGCATAAGGGGCGTGTATTATTAAATTAGAACCCATGGTAATTGGGTCCGTATTCTACTCAGGCAGAAATTTAATAGCTTTTATATGATGTCATGCGCGGATCTAGAGGGAGATGGGGGGGGGGGGTTCAGGACCCCCTGGAATTTTCAGAGTTATTAAAAGTATATACTGAAGCTAATAAAAATGACTTTGGAAACACCCCCCCCCCCCCGTAGAAAACGTGGATCCCACCATCACCACCACGTGTGTTTTTATGTTTGGGAAATAGATTTTCTGTGATTTTTTTTTTGATTTTTTTTTTGTTTTTGATTTTTTTTTTTTTTTTTTTTTTTTTTTTGCTTGTCAAGAAAAATTTTGTAAATTTTTTTGACGTGTATTAAAGGCAGTATATATATATTGAGCGAATGCTGATCTAGCATTTGTCAATGGATGTTCTTCATGTCCATGGGGACTTGTCAAAAAATGTATGCCATCTTTAAATATAGTCACTCTTACTATGAACATACAAAAGATTATATTTAGGCCATAAACTGTTTTTGTCCGTCATTGTGTGTAGTCCGTCATCTAACATTTAAACATTTGCAGCCTCTTCTATGGAGCCGCTGAAACAATTTCAACCAATTTTGGAACATGGTATCCATGGGTGAAGAAACAAAATTGTGAATTTCATAATACCCGCTACAGAACAGAACAGAACATTTATTTTCTAATTTAGAGCCCGTAACAGACAAGTATGAAATTATTACAATAATAAGGAAAAGATATGCCAATGGGTAGTATAACAATTTGTAAATGACATTGCTCATTTCAAGAATAATATTGTGCTATTTCAGTTAAAGGTATAAAGGGAATACTATATATAAAAGTGTACGGCTACTACAACATGTTATCATTTATGAATTTGCCCACAAAATTAAGAGTTTCTTTGTCTTCAGTATTGAGTAACCAAAAAAGTTTTTGTTCATCATCTAACGCCGAGAAATTTGGAAATTTACTTTTGATTGACTGAAAAATTTCTCTTCTTTGATGATCATATTTTTTTTTACATGTTATCAAAAAAAGAGTTTCATCATCTACACTGTTAGAATTACATCTATTGCGTAATCGATCTTCTCGAGGGATGTTGGTAAATCTTCCCATGCACTTCAATTTGCAATCTGTGACAAGAAATTCTAAATTTACATAGTGATGAAAATTTTTAACTACTGATAAATAATTCTCATAACCCCAATTTTGTTTGAGTTTTACATATGTGCTTAATTTACCATCGGTATAACTTTGTTGACATGTATACCAATTTTTTACATAATAACAGTGTTTGAAACTCGTGGTAGAATTAGCTAGACATGCAGGGCTGACTGCAAGTGAAAGTTGTCAGCCCTGCCAAAACTCTGCTAGCCCGAGAAAATAAAAGTCTATTATAAATGTTTTTAGCAATAATGTGAATGGGGCACGATCACCATAACTTCCATCCCAAATCTATAGGCTGTCGAATTCTACCCCTTTACTTGTTACAGTTAGCTGCCGATACTATTAGTTGATTTGAGAGATATTTATCAAATATATGAATTTTAATTTATTGCAAATTTTAACAGGTCCAGTCGGGCTTTGATACGTTGTAAATCTGTTCGTCCGCGGCAAAATTTGTGCGTCTCGGGCGCACGGTTATTTCAAACACTGATAATAATCTAATAAGGTTTTATGACAGAGTGACTTAAATTTATGCTTCCCATAACAAATTACTTCATCTTTGATATTCAGTATAATTCTTAATTTCTGTATAAATGCGAACCATGAGTTCTTGCCATGTATACAAAAAGTTTTTTTACTACATTCATATGCATCTTAAAGTAAAGGAAATTCTGTGGACAAATTTTCAAATCTGTAAAAACTTTTGATTAAGAATTTGACAATATCATAATGCAGGGGGAACCTTCCCAATGCAGACAATACTGCAAAATTTGTACTTCTCTTATGAACACCAAGAATATATTTACAGAATTTAAGGTGTATTCTTTCATATAGTAGATTTCTGAAACAGTCTTCAACTTCTAACTTTTGGCATTTTAGGAATCTTTTAGTATTGATATTACTTGCACCCCACACCTCTGCATTATACAAAAGAATTGGTTTAATAGTAGAGTCAAATACATGTATACTCGTTTTAATCCCAGGATTCAAATTAATAAAATCATTTCTCAATTTATAATATGCTTTTAACGCCTTTTATAGAGCTCTGATCTTGCTACATGAAAACTTCCAGATACAGTTAGGTGGACTCCAAGATATTTGTAGCTAGATACGCAGTATATCCTATTATTTTGAAACATTAGTTTTTGCGTAATATTACGACCAGCTTTATTAAATATCATGACTTTAGTTTTTTGAATCTTTACCTTTAACCACCAATCAGAGCAATACCTTTCCATTTTTGAAAGTCTTGCTTGTATACCTTTAGCTGATGATGATAAAATAACAATGTCATCTGCATACATTAAACAGTTAATAGTTTTTGTCTGAAGTGATACTTCATCAATACATGAATCTAAATATGATGGAAAATCATTTATAAATATTTTAAATAAGGAAGAGCTCAAGTTATCCCCTTGACAGACACCTATAGCTATTGGAAATGGATCCGAGAAGAACCTTCCAATTTTCACACATGCCTGACTATTCTTATATATATATTACTTATAATATTATAAAATTTAGACCCAACATCCATCTGAAGTAATTTGAGCTTTAATCCTGTGTGGATAGCGCTGTCAAAAGCTTTATGAAAGTCAATAAAACAAGCATATAGTCTTCCTTCTTTTGTGCTATAGTTAATTTATCAACTAAACACATTAGCACAAATAGATGCTACATGTAACCTGGTGACCGAGGTAAGGAGCTGAAAACATCAAAATAATGCAACATTTAGAATCTTCCTCTTTACTCCTCAGGCTCCAGGAATTGAAGTACGTTGGGGGGGGGGGGGGGGGGGGCAAAAGTAGGCAGGGGGTCTGGGGGCCGCCTTGAGGCCCCCAGTGGGTCCAGGGCGAAGCCCTAGTGGGGGCCCAGGGTAGCTCCTGGATTCTAGAGATTTGTAGGGTAAAAATGAGGTTTACAGAGTAGGCTTTACATTTTCTCGATGAAACTATGATTTACTTTACGCTTTAGGGGGACACACGCCGGGTGCGCCCCCTTTAAACTGTTAAATCTGCCACTGCTCCTTGACATCAAGTAGGTGAAACTGTTGGCATGACTGTAATTAGCACTGAACCCTTTGCCAAATTTCAAATTATGAAAATTACCCCTGGTTCAGGGGTTCTGGTGTCAGGGCAGGGGGCTCTGTTGATCATATAGTAAAAATGCATAAATTCTTTTAAAATCTTCTCTGCTCCTGAGTATTTAGCAAAGTGCATGGTTATGATGAGCCAGGATGGCTCTTTGCAAATTGTGCAATTCATGGCCCCTGGGTCAGGGGTTCTGGTGTGAGGGCGGGGCTCTATTGATCATATAGTAAAAATGCATTTATTCTTTAAAAATGTTCTGTTCTACTACTGGGTATTTAGTAGATAAATTTAGTGCATGGTTATGATAAACAAGGAAGTCTAGCTCTTCAGAAATTGTGAAATTCATGACTCCTGGGTTAAGGTTCTGGTGTTAGGATGGGGTTCTATTCATGATCATATAGTGAAAATGCATTAGTTCTATGAAAATCTGGGTATTTACCAAACAAACTAATTGCATGGTTATGATGAGCAAGGGTGCCTCTTCAGAAATCGTGAAATTCATGGCCCTTGCGTCAGAGGTTTTGGTGTTATGGTTGGGGTCTATATTGATCACATTGTGAAAATGCATGATTTTAAAAATTCTTTAAAAATCTTCTCTGCCCCTGAGTATTTAGTACACATACTAATTGCATGGTTTTAATAAGCAAGGATGCTTCTTCCAAAATTATGAAATTCATGGCCCCTGGATTAGAGGTTCAGGTGATAGGGTGGGACTCTATTGATTATTTAGTGAAAATGCATTATTTCTTTGAAATTACGATGCATTAACCATTAATGCTTGAAAATCTTCCTCTCTGCTCCTAGGAATCTAGGAGGAAAACAGATTACAAAGTTTGTAATGAGCAAGGGTATTTTTTTAATACTAGCTTTCTGAAATTCATGACCACTGGGTCAAGTGTTCTTGTGCTGGGCATGCAAGGATTTTTTAATCTTGTAGGGAAATTTGAACTCTACGGAAAAAGTTAATCCCCTTAGCTATTCATCTATGATAATTAATCACTGTAAATTATGTAATTGATAGGTGAATAGAATAAAAGAATTGTATGCACATTTTTTTAGTTTTAGTATAATACAAAAATTACTTTCATATTTTCAATAGTCAGGTAGACTTGTAAATGGTAGATACTAAGTAAATAACAAGAGGCCCATGGGCCACATCGCTCACCTGAGCACATTGGCTAAAAGCACAAATCAGTTCAGTATTGAAAAGTTTACTTGGGGGGGGGGGGCTTGAATTTTAAACTACCTGATGATGCTTCCATGTCAATATAAGAAATGGCTTTGTTGTACTTGAGAAGATTTTTAAAAAAATTTCCCACATATTCCTTTGTAAAAATTTGATCCCCCATTGTGGCTCCTCTCTATCCCAGGGGTCATCATTTGAACAAACTTGAATCTACACTACCTGAGGATGCTTCCATATCAATATGACTAAACATAGCTTTTCTGTTTTTGAGAAGAAATATTTTTCCTATATGTTCTTATGTAAAATTTTTGATCCTGCATTGTGGCCCGACCTTATCCCCGGGGGTCATCATTTTAAGAAACTTGAATCTACATTACCTGAGGATGCTTTCATATCAAAATGACTAATCATGGCTTTGCAGTTCTTCTTCAGAAGAAATTTTCCTATATATTTCTATTTAAGACTTTGATCCTCCATTGTGGCCCCACCCTACCCCTGGGGTCATGATTTGATCAAAATAGAATCTACACTACCTCAGGATGCTTCCATATAAATATGATCAATCAGGGCTTTGCTGTTTCTGAGAAGAAGATTTTTAAAGATTTTTCCTATATAATTCTATGTAAAACTTTGATAGTTCATTGTGGACCCGCCCTACCCCCAGGGGTCATGATTTGAACAAACTTGAATCTACACTACCTGAGGATGCTTCCATATAAATGACTCATCATGGCTTTGCTGTTCTTGAGAAGAAGATCTTTAAAGATTTTTCCTATATATTTCTACGTAAAACTTTGATCCTCCATTGTGGCCCCGCCCTACCCCTGGGGGTAATGATTTGAACAAACTTGAATCTACACTACCTGAGGATGCTTCCATATAAATATGACTCATCATGGCTCTGCTCTTCCTGAGAAAATTTTTTTAAGGTTTTTCCTATATATATCTATGTAAAATTTTGATCTTCCATTGTAGCCCCGCCCTTCCCCCGGGGGTCATGATTGGAACAAACTTGAATTTACACTACCTGAGGCTGCTTCCATATAAATATGACTCATCATGGCTTTGCTGTTCTTGAGAAGAAGATTTTTAAAGGTTTTTCCTATATATTTCTATGTAAAACTTTGATCTTCCATTGTGGCCCTGCCCTACCGCCGGGGGTCATGATTTGAAGAAACTTGAATCTACACTACCTGAGGATGCTTCCACATGAGTTCCATCTTCCTGGCCCTGTGGTTCTTAAGAAGAAGATTTTTAAAAGATGCTATTAATTTTTCACAAATTCTCTATTATCTCCCCTTGAAAGAGGGCGTGGCCCTTCATTTGAACAAACTTGAATCCCCTTCACCCATGGATGCTTTGTGGCAAGTTTGGTTGAAATTGGCCCAGTAGTTCTGGAGAAGAAGATGAAGTTGTGAAAAGTTTACAACGACGACGACGACACCGACGACAACGGACAAATTTTGATCAGAAAAGCTCACTTGAGCCTTCAGCTCAGGTGAGCTAAAAATGAGACAAAAAATACCTTATTTTGACCTTACTTTGGATACCAACAACTTTGACCCTTTGACCCTGGAGTTTGATTTTCTTTCGAAAAACTTTAACCTTGGCCATAACTTTTGAATGGTTGGTGCTAGGGCTTTCATATTTCACATGTGTATTTCTTGTGAGAAGGCCTTTCCTTGGGTACCATTAATTTTGACCATTTGAGCTTGATGTTTGACCTACTTTAAAAAATTAACCCTTTTCTATATCTTTTCAATGGTTGCTGCTAGGGCTTTCATATTTCACAGGTATATTCCTTGAGACAAGACCTTACATTAAGTACCAACATATTTGATTTGCTTTTGAGAAAGTTTAATCTTCACTATAAGTTGCAATCCCCAGCACTGCCATTTAAACTCGGTTAATTCCGTAACTGTTGAACACCATTGAATGCAAAAAAGATATAGCTGATTCCACCCACAGTGTGATGTAAGAGGCCCAGTATCTCATTGACAGGTCCAATATCTCGGTCCCTGGTCTAACATTGATTTTATTTTATGACCGCTCAGTAAAACATTGGAAATTTTAGACTTTTGTTAAGTATAGATTTATCTAGGAAACATTTTTTTTTAAAGATATAACAATATTGTATTGTGAAGTCTGTAACTCTGTATGGCTATATTGACAAATGGGAGTGTGTTAGCACTGGCACTACAGGCAAGTAAATATTTGTTACCGAGTACTATACTAACTACTTTGTTGATCCCTGATCATCATAATTCTCTTGCTTTTGGGCAATATATTTTCATCTGTCAGTTTTTTTTTTTAAATTTATACTTCTGGGGATCCTTCACAATGTTGTATTATACTCAGGTGACCATTAAGGTCCTGGCTTCTTGTTTACAGTATAATGATTTTTGTCCACAGAGTACACTCAAAAAGCACAATTTTGCTTCTTGCTTGTGTAATTGGTCTCCCAAACCCCATAGAAGGATATTATCTATGGTAATCTTATATTAAGTCACATTCAAACCTTACTTTACATAATAAGAATTAAAGTTATGTCTTTTATTGACGTCCTTAAAAAGTTAACTCAACAATTTACAAAAGTATGAAGCAGTGAGAAACAATTTTCAACCATCTCTCAGAAGAGCATTGTAAATAAATTATAGAATATGAAGAACAAAAAGTACCAAGCATTATTGATCAATTCTCACAGTATTACTTTAGAAAATATTGGTCAACACTTATTAATATTCATTTGTTAAACAGCAACTGTTCCGCTATCTAGTGTTTGTTTTAATCATATTTATATTTCGTACAATCTTGACACTCAGCTACATAGGATTTGACCAGTTCTTTAATGAAAGATAACATAAATTAAAACAAAAATAATAAAAGAAATATATATTCAGTTATAGAAACAAACATCTGTGAAAAAAATACACACTGAAATTATACCTTTAAAAGGCAGCAAGTGATAATACCAAAATTAAAAGTCATGTTAATTTTTTTGATTACTTGAATCAGAATGTACATGTAATTCCATATTAATTTAATAAGAATCTTTAAATTCTACGACCAAAACAAGTAACCTATTTATTGTCTTCTTCCCCTGGGTTGAGAAGCTCCTTTAAACGGCCCCCTTTCAACTTGAAATTAGCGGTCAGGAATTCGGGCTTCTCCTTCTCTTTTTCTGCAATACATTCATAAGAACAAAAGATTGTTTTTTCAGTGAATATTGTACTCCTCAGGTGGCTAAATCATCATACTAACCTCAAAACAGCAAAAATTGTGTCGACTCAAATAACTTAAATTCCAAGATATAGACTAATAAGACTCTTGTGTCGTACGATCATTAACCTTTATATCTCAAAACCCATACGAAACAAATTCATTTTATTGGGGATTTATTCACTTCAAATGATATATCAACAATATCACAAATAAAATATCATGATATTCAAAGGATGAAGTGCTCTAAAATGACTGAAAACCTATGGTCTTAATGTAACATGTATGAAATTTAGACCCCTTAACAAATGTTACTTATACAGTAAGACCTGCATAACACTAAGCATGAACTGTACCATGATTCCTGATATACTGTACAGTAAGTGTGAACTGTACCATGATTCCTGATATACTGTACAGTAAGTGTGAACTGTGCAATGATTCCTGACATACTGTACAGTAAGTGTGAACTGTACCATGATCCGTGATATACTGTACAGTAAGTGTGAACTGTACCATGATTCATGACATACTGTACAGTAAGTGTGAACTGTACCATGATTCATGACATACTGTACAGTAAGTGTGAACTGTACCATGACTCATGATATACTGTATAGTAAGAAAAATATGTAAAGCCTGAAAGGTATATAAGAATACTGACGATACATAATGGTACGTTCTGATGTCTGAGTGTCTATGTAAACAAAAGCGAAAGTACAAAGTATCAGCTGATGGAGTAAACTGAGATAGGACTCAGCAATCATCACAATAAATAATCGATAACAACAGTGGACTATATATACACATACATATATGAAGAAGTAAAGGTTCATGATACACTATAGAAATCTTACTACTGCCCAGCTTCAGATAACTTTTGATCCATTAAGTCCTCTGTTAGAAACATTCAGATTTCCTGATCTTCAGTAAAATTAATTTTGCACTGAATTGAAGAAAGGATTCAAAGTTGTAACTTCTTCTTTTTTTTTTTTTTTTTTTTAACTAAATGTAGTTTTGAATTCTTTTTCATATTTTTGGATTTTACTTTTTAGATAGCACTGATAAAACTCATTAGCATCAACTGATAAGACAAATACTAAGTAATATCAATTTACTCTCAACAAAAAAATAATACACAGATTCAGGCTTGTTCCTAAGAATTGAATAGGAGGAAACATTAAAAATGTAGAAGGGGGTCTGGGGTCCCTCCACTAACAAAAGTTTGAGGAGGAATACCAGAGTACCACGGGGATAACATCATTATAGACAGGGAAATTCCCAGGACCCTGGGTCTTAGGGACAACCCTGCTGATTGAAAAACTGAATACCCATTGCTGATATGTTTAGCATATTTGATTCTAATGAATCAGGCTTGCCCCTGTAAACCTGTGATGACCAGCAACACACTTGATTGAGAGCTGGTTTTGCACTCACTTCACCCTGTGAGCTGACTGGACTTGAAAAATTTGATAGGCTCACTCAGCTTTAACATGGCCTTCTTGCTGATAGTCGTGTCGAAAGTAGTTTACTTTAAGACATGAAGCTTTTATTTTGAGGAAGGCTGGTGAAAATGACATAATTTTTAAAGTGTAGTCATTTTCTATGCTAGGTAATGTTTTTCAATAGAAATACAATATTTCAATTATCGAACACAGGCCAGGTTGCTTGATTCTTAGCACATAGTCAGATTTACCTGGCTAAGTTAAGATAGTCAGATTTACCTGGCTAAGTTAGGATAGTCAGATTTACCTGGCTAAGTTAGGATCAGCTGAATTTTATCAGAATCAAGCATGCTAGGTATCTTACACAATTACACTACATATACATGTAGCTGTACTAAGCAATGTGAGCCAGTCACACCACAAGTTAATTCTATAATAATTACCTGGAGTTCCAGAATCAACAGGTGCTCTTTTTTTAAGAGAGAACTTGAAGGCAGGTTCCTTGGGTATGTCTGGTGTTGATTCATCGCCCTTGGGGCCACCACCCATGTTTAAGAGATCAGCTTCACTCTGGGTACGTTTCATCTTTTTCTGTCATTCAAATCATAAAGTATGAAAAAATGAAGATTATCTTCACATACTGGAAATCCAAATACCCACTGTTAAAACATAAGATGACAAACCTTTTCACTGTTTACTCAGTAGTATGATGTTTAATTACCAATATACATGTATATTATTAACTTACAAGTATGTTGTTTACTTACTCAAATTTTGTTTACTAACTAATATGTTGTTTACTCCTTAGAATATTGCTTTTTTGCTAGACTAGTATGCTGTTTACTCTCAAGTAAATTGTTAATTTACTAGTATGTTCTTTTTACTTACTTCTTACTAGTACATGTATGTTGTTAACCCATAAGTTTACTTATTTTTACTTACTAGTATGTTGTTAACTCATTCTACTTACTAGTCTGTTGTTAACTTAATAATAGTTGTTTCCTATTTAGTATATTGTTGCTCCTTAATGCTGTTTACTTACTAGTATAACTATTATATTTTTACTTTTATATGTTACTAGAATGTTGATTACTTACTAGTATGTTGTTTACTTACTAAGACTGGTATGTTGTTTACTTACTAGTAGTTTACTTACTAGTATGTTGATTACTTACAAGTATGTTGATTACTCAACAAGTATGTTTACTTACTAGTATGTTGATTACTTACTAGTATGTTGACTACTTACTAGTGTGTTGACTACTTACTAGTATGTTGTTTACTTATGTTGATTACTTACTAGTATGTTGTTTAATTCTTTCATGGCCCCTGTCTCCTCAGTGCCTCCCTCTGAGGGCTGTAAAATAAAAACTAAATTAATAATTTATGCCAATTACTTCCTTACTTTTGAAAATAAACAATTTATTTTTCCAAAATTCAATGATGTATCACAGTAAAGAATGCAAATTTAAGATTCAAGCCAAACTATGAAATTACATGCTGTGATAGCTAACACCAAGAGAAAAAAATCATCTTATGATTGCTATACAGTGGAATTTAATACAATGCCATGTACTAAACCATCACTGACAGAGCAATTTCTTTTCATGCATCTTTTACTTGTTTTCAATTGTGCTTTTTTAATATTTCACTACAGCATTCTGTGCATGCTTCAGAAATGATAAAGTAGATGAAAGAAAGACCTAATACAGACAGACAATTAATGAAAATGAATCATTTGATAAAGAAAGGAGTGTTTGTCAGGAGACTTTAAATGCTACCTTCTTACATGTAAAACTACATTAAGGTATGTGTCATAACATACAACAAAGAAACAAAATACAGGTTTATCATGCACTTGAAGATTTGATCAAATACCAAAACCATCAATATAGGATGGATAAAAGCTACAAACAAGAAGTCAGTTTATTTATGTTTTCAGGCAAAAGGACGACTGTAATTTCTCATGCTGCAAGTGCGACATTAAAGCAGTTCATGTTTGTACCTCCTCCGACACGGATCCTAGTGCACCTGTACTGGATTTAGATCCCTACAGTTAAACAGGGCTGTTACATTCACTGTGTAATAATATGCTGACAGTGTAACCTAAGGATATCATTTATCATGTATCTCATTCTGAATAATATAATAACTGACAAGTAATGTATAGTGTAACCTGAATATACCATAACTCTAGTTGATAAACCAGCTGTCACACACACACACTTAAGTCTTTAGCCCTAGGATGAAGAGTCTTACCCAGTGATTTTTTTTTTGTTTTTTAAACCACCACCCCCTCCTTTTGAATTGGGAAAAATTAGCGAAATTTTCTTTAAATTGGGAAAAATCATTTATAGTAAATTAGAATGCTAAAAAATACATAAAATAATCAAACTAAGTAACAACATCTGATTTTGTTTGATTTTAACTTTGAATTTGATTTAAATTCATATATAATAATCATTTTAAAAAATTAACATCAATATTTTATTGAATGTGAACATGGCTTATATTAGTCACATCTTGTAGCTTCTATTTTCTTGGAATTGCTTTATCTAATTTCATAAAAAAAAAAACAACAACAAAAACAAAACAGCATTTAGACTTATAATATAGTAAACTGTCTTATATTGATAATCAAGTTAACAGTCTTTACTGCTTGTTTTTTCCTGATTTTAGTGAAACCCTATGTGTTGTCGATTTCCTGTTATTAGCCTGACCCTCTCTGTAATAATGGCGGTCAAATCAAAATCATTATGTCAACATGCAACATGACTTGTATCTGGGAACTATTTACCAATTCATTAAGAATATTATAAGCTACTCATCTGCTGTATGGATATCTACATTGTTTTACACATTCATTAAAAAAAGCGCCTGCATATGCACGGACTTGAAGCAAATTTAGCGACTTTTATTCAAAATTAAAACATAATTTTCGTATGTTTGAAATTGGGAAAAATATACTAATAATTGGGAAAAAATAGCTAATTTTTGCGAGGGGAAACAGCCGAATATCGGTGGCATTTTGACTCCAAAAAAATCACTGCTTACCCTACATTTGACTGTGTGTCCCCTAGCCTGCTGATTCTTACCCTACATTTGACTGTGTGCCCCAAGCCTGCTGATTCTTACCCTACATTTGACTGTGTGCCCCAAGCCTGCTGATTCTTACCCTACATTTGACTGTGTGCCCCCTAGCCTGCTGAGTCTTACCCTACATTTGACTGTGTGCCCCCTAGCCTGATGAGTCTTACCCTTTGTTTGACTGTGTGTCCCCGAGCCTGCTGAGTCTTACACCCTACATTTGACTGTGTGCCCCCGGCCTGCTGAGTCTTACCCTACATTTGACTGTGTGCCCCCTAGCCTGCTGAGTCTTACCCTACGTTTGACTGTGTGCTCCCTAACCTGCTGAGTCTTAGCCTACATTTGACTGTGCGACCCTTAGTCTGTTGAGACTTACCCTACGTTTGACTGTGCGTCCACTAGACGTTAATGGCTTCCCACTGTTGATACGTTCCATCATTTCACTCATTGCTTTTGAAAAGTTGTCATTCATTGCTGGATTTTGCACTGAAATATTATGTTGTATTTCAAATAATGCATCCTGTTTGATAACATATCATGCTAAGCTAAGAATTTGTTACAACTGTTCTCAGTTTAGTTTATAACTTTGGTTCTCAGTTCAGTTTATAAATTAAGTTGGTACCTACAAGCACCAGCAGCTGGCTTTTTCTTTTTCTTTGATCCGTCTCTCTTCAGTCGAGACAGAAATCTGAAATATTTTAAATCACTACATGTATTTGAGTCACTTGCATGTGTCCATCTTCCCTAAAGAAATATCCAGCAATTGAACAAATTTGAAATCAAATCTGTTCTACACAAACATGTAATATGTACTTGATAAACTACAGTAAAACTGCTTATACAGAACTCACTTAAAAGGAAACCTTCTTTTAAGGAAAATTTTTACAAATCCCCAAAGAAAAAAATTCAATATGTTTCTAATATGGTTTTTTTTAACTGTATCTTAATGTGTATTAACTATAAATAAGTTAAGGTCTACACCTGCTTGATGATTAAAACTGAGTATACATACCCTTTAGATTTGGTGGTCAGTGATGGGGGTGGGGGAGGAGGAGGAGGGGGTGGGGGTCTTGTTGCTTCCTCAAACTTCACCTCCAAGGCTTTGTCTACACATAAGAATGAAACATTTATAAAATACATAATTTACTTAACCTGCATCAATGTATAATATACGTCCTATTTCTTGATATTTCTATTTTAGACTTACATTTTTCCTGCAGTACATTGTACTGCTCCTCAAACTGTTTGACCCGGTCCTCTAGCCTGCTGATCTCCTCCAGAAAAGCTGAGTTATCTGGCTCCTCCACCACGATGTCCTCAGCCTTCTCCTTCAGCTCCTTAATCTACGAAACAATTACCAGTCTCAATCAACTAATACCAGAGACAAGGTCGGATTAGTGGCGACTAACTCCAAATACCAGAGAAAACATTGAAAACATTGTTCTAAAATACAGTACATTGTTACTCAGATCATATATCGCATAACAGAAAATTTAAGTAGCCATCTCTTTTGGCATTCTAGAGATGGTTAAATATACATGTAAACATTGTTAATAGTTTAATCACAAATGGTGTGGGAGAAAATAATTAGAGGAAGCCTTAAAATTGCAAAAAATTAATCACACAAAAAATATATTATCAATTTATGGATAATTGCTTAATTTGGTGATCAATAAAAAGACCCATTACAGGGTGTAATCTTTTTAATCCATAAAAGGGAAACCAAATGTCTTAACCATAGGGAAGTTAAACAGATTGATGTTTTCTAAATATTGCTGACATTTATTCAGGTTAAGAATCCAATTTGTCAATAGATACCTCCTGCTCATATTTCTGTTTCTGGGTTTCTAAATCCTGGGTAAGCTGTTCCACCTCTGCCAGCGCCATCATCAGTTTGGGATCAGACGCTGCTTCTGTCAGGAGGATCATACTCTGTTTCTTCATTGCCTCATTCTGAATTCGAATCTGAGAGGAAGAACGATAAATTTAGATATTTCACGATATTTATCATACAACAAGATGTGTTCATGAAATATAATGCTGTTGACAATGGCAATGCCAACACCCTGATAGAAAATTAAAAGCAGTACTGATTGTCATCTTGACCATGACAAAGTAAAACGTTTGTTGAAGAACACCATTCTCAACAACAAAGAAACCAATAACAGAAAGTTTCTGACACATGAAACATAACTTCATCAGTATATTCCTCAGTAACTAACATCAATACGAACCTCGGTAGCAAACTTTTCTGCTCCACTGCGACACTGCTGCTCTAACTCATACCTCTGCTGCAATGCTTCATACTCCCTCACTGCTCCCTCAGACACTGATAAAAGAATAATACAATAAATGGTATTTTATTTGCTAGAAGTTTGTTTTAACAGGACTTTGTTAAGTTATCTACATGTGAAAATAAAGTACGTATGACTGATAAAGGGAAGTAACTTTACAATTACTCATCAAACAGAGGACAGAGGATACAACATAACTATGTCCTGTGATTCAATGCTATGCTACCACTCAGCGAAAATAAAGTCACATGACATGTCATTTGGTAGAGTTATCTACCTTTCTCAAGTTCCATCATGGCTTCCTTGTACTGCTCCACCACTATCTCAGCTTCAGCCCGGCTCTCCTTCATTTCCTCAAACTAAACCCAACAGAATAGGACCTCTCATTATTTATACACAGATCTGATGGAGTTAAAACATCTGACAACATTATAAAAAATGACTGTACATAAAATAATCCACCTTGTGCTTCCACTTATTGGAATGTTCCTTCTCAATGGCCAGGTCCTCTCTAAGGGAAGACAACTCTTCTTTGACTGTGACTAGCTCCTCTTCTAGCTCTGAAAGAAATTCAGTAAGCATTATAATAATGATTATTATTGTTTACATTAGATATTAGATCTATGACTGTTTACATGTCAGGAGGACCTTACTCTGAATTATCTCTGCCTGCTCCTTTCGGAAGTCCTCAATGGAGTCCTCTTTCTCATCAAGATCAAGGTTCATCTGTGTGATATCTGGGGGATTAGGTCCCTGAAGCTCTAGTAACATTTTAGACTGTCGCTTGAGCTCTTTGTTCTGGGTGGAAATCTGTAAATAAAAAGAAAATGTGTATCGAAGCAGAAAGAAGATGACACTGGAATCAGTTTTGAGTCTATTCTATGCATATTCATTTTCTGTGCCTATAGCTTATGCCAAAGTTAGTTATTCTTTAAACTGATGATGCTTATCCAAAAATCAGTTGCAGCTATACACTATCAATTTTATAACTTTATTCAGTTATTTTCTGTGGCTGGTCTATTAGAAGTAAAGTCCTACAGCTGTATTCATGATGGTCATGATGGGTAATATACCCCCCCCCCTCCCACCAAGGCTGTAGGACTTATGTAATAACATAAGTGTTAACCTCAGTGGCTAATATACATCAGTCTGGACCGAATAGATGGCTAGGTCCTCTAATACTAACCTTAGTAGTTTACACTTCAGCCTGGACCTACTTGGTGACTAAGTCCTCCAATAGTTACCTTAGTAGCTAATACCTCAGCCTTGACTGACTTGGTGGCTAAGTCTTCCAATACTTACCTTAGTAGCTAACACCTCAGCCTGAACTGACTTGATGGGTAAGTCCTCCAGGACTAAACTTAGTAGTTAAAACCTCTGCCTGGACTGACTTGGTGGCTAAGTCCTCAATACTAACCTTAGTAGCTACCCCCCAGCCTGGACCTACTTGGTGATTAAGTCCTTCAGTACTTACCTTAGTAGCTAATACCTCAGCCTGAACTGACTTGGTGACTAAGTCCTTCAGTACTTACCTTAGTAGCTAACCCCCCAGCCTGGACCTACTTGGTGACTAAGTCCCTCAGTACTAACCTTAGTGGCTAACCCCCTAGCCTGGACCTACTTGGTGACTAATTCCCTCAGTACTAACTTTAGTAGCTACCCCCCAGCCTGGACTGACTTAGTGACTAAGTCCTCAATACTTACCTTAGTAGTTAACACCTCTGCCTGAACTGACTTGGTGACTAAGTCCTCAATACTAACCTTAGTGGCTGATACACCTCAGCCTGGATTGACTTGGTGACTAAGTCCTCAATACTTACCTTAGTAGTTAACACCTCTGCCTGGACTGACTTGGTGGCTAAGTCCTCAATACTTACCTTAGTAGTTAACACCTCTGCCTGGACTGACTTGGTGACTAAGTCCTTAATACTTACCTTAGTAGCTAACACCTCAGTCTGGACTGACTTGGTGACTAAGTCCTCAATACTTACCTTAGTAGTTAACACCTCTGCCTGGACTGACTTGGTGGCTAAGTCCTCAATACTTACCTTAGTAGTTAACACCTCTGCCTGGACTGACTTAGTGACTAAGTCCTCAATACTTACCTTAGTAGTTAACACCTCTGCCTGGACTGACTTGGTGACTAAGTCCTCAATACTGATCTTAGTGGCTGATACACCTCAGCCTGGATTGACTTAGTGGCTAAGTCCTAAGTACTAACCTTAGAAGATGACATCTCAGTCTGGACTGACTTGGTGGCTAAGTCCTCAATACTTACCTTAGTAGCTAATACCTCAGTCTTGACTGACTTGGTGGCTAAGTCCTCAATACTTACCTTAGTAGCTAACACCTCAGCCTTGACTGACTTGGTGGCTAAGTCCTCAATACTTACCTTAGTAGCTAACACCTCAGTCTGGACTGACTTGGTGGCTAAGTCCTCCAGGACTTATTTTAGTAGCTAACACCTCAGCCTGGACTGACTTGGTGACTAAGTCCAATACTAACTTTAGTAGCTAACACCTCAGTCTGGACTGACTTGGTGGCTAAGTCCTTCAGTACTTACCTTAGTAGCTAACACCTCAGCTTGAGTCCTACAGTCGAATTCAATCTCATACTTCATCTTCATTCTTTCATACTCAGATATGGCGGGCTGTATCACTGAAGAATAATATTCATCAAAGTCATTACCTGATATTCATTGTTTTAAATATTGTGTATTAAACCACGTTACTTAGGATTAATTTAACTCGTATAAAAAGAGGATGAAAAATCACATTCTTATTGCATATAAAATTTCTCATGAAAGTACTTGTATATGTGAGTTAATATGAAGTATTGTCTTACATTTCTTCATCTCTTTTAGCTGGCTTTCTCTGAGCTTCAGTCTGTGTACAACGCTGTTGTACTAAATAGAGATTACAATTTTTAATTAGAATTAACATGAAATATGCCTACATGACAAGTCTGTGCGATTTACACACTAATAACTCACACAAAACTTAAAAACATTCCTTAAATAATGTACTTACATGTACAAATATATCAGTTCATTAGTAGTCATCACTTATTCATGTTGGAACACTTATTTAAACCTGTACTTTTTAAGACACACACACACACATACAAAGAACCAAAACCAGGTGTGATTTCCTTCTTCATTCTTAACATTTGTGAAATCATATTAGGTAAATCCATGTAATAATATAACTAAAGTAATATTTGGATGTGACATGAAAATAAATCATTAACTTTTTCTCTTACCGCTTTTTCATTTTCTTGGAATTTATAAAGCAGGTCATCATACTGTACAAGAACTAAAAAAAAAAAAGGAAAAAAATGAATTCAAGTACATGTATACATGTGTAGTGGTCAGGTAGGTTTGATCACCGGCGGCCTGATAGCTCAGATGGTAGAGCACCTCACTAGTGATTCAGAGGGCTCCTGTTATAATCCTGGCCTGATCCATCACATTTTTCTCCTGGCCTGTTATACTTGTATAATTATATATAGATTCCTCTTACTTAGTAATTTATAGCCAAAATTGGAATTGATAGATAACCAGGCAATATAGTTAGAATATAATATATGTCTGACTTCTCTGAAGGTAGGTGGTGGGGTAGCACATCAGTATTTAATTTCAAAATTATGTAATAGCATAAAACAATAATGAGAGATTAAAATTGTGTGTTTAGACAATGCCTTTTTTTAATTTCAACTGGAAGTCTCCACATTTATAAACAAAGGTCCACAGGAAGTGAGATTATTACACACAGCTAAGAGGAAGCGACAGACAAGGAAGTAAACATAAAATCCGAACTGGAGAAAAAAAAATACATGAATGAAGTTAATTGGGTAGTGGTTTACCACTTTCATTTACCAGCACAATGTATTTTCCATTATTTTTTTACTTTAAAAAAAAATAATATATGCCTATTGCCTGTGGGAAAGACGTTGTCTACAACTTCCTTTTTCAATTTTTTTAATCTTTCTTACTTACCTTGACTTGACAGAGATTTCAATGTATCATAACGTACTTGCAGCTCTGTCAATTCTCCGTTATCCATCTTTTCTGACATGTTTTCCTTCTCTGAATCAGACATGACTAGTTAGTGTTTAACTATACTATTCCGAGTATTCGATATTCTTCTTTCCCAATAAAAAAAAAATCAGGAAGTTTGAAACTGAATTCCGATCCCGATCAGAAATCAGTCAATAACTAATCGAATTTTTATGTACTAACATTGTTTATACGAAATAATTGTTAAAAAGTAAGTTGTACGCGGTAAATTTAATATATTTAATGTATGAAATTGTGGGGTTTCCTCATATGCATTGTTCAATTACACATAGTTTAATCTTTCTCTCTCTCTCTCTCTCTCTCTCTCTCTCTCTCTCTCTCTCTCTCTCTCTCTCTCTCTCTCGTATCACAAGCTACATGTATGTTTTATACGAATAATTTTACACATTGAATCATACAGTAAATTAACAACGTTACACATTTATGTAAATACAATTTTGAAGGAATAATTCTTCATCGCTTAACATACTTGCACGCAACGTAGTTTGGAACTTTATATTTCTTAAATGAAAGAGTTCCAATAATTGAAGGACCTTTGAGCGACTTTTATGATGTCTATAGATGTTGTTCGCCTCTAGCAAAACAAAATTGATGAAAAACTAAAATGGACTATGTGTATGGTAATTATTCTTTGAATAACACCAAAAATTTTATCATTTCTATTCTAAACCCCTGGGTAGGATGATATTATTTTTGTCTAAGAACATCTAATGGTACTATGATGTTAAATCAGGGACACATATACTATATACTCATGGCCGAAGGAACGAGGGGGGGGGGCACGGAAGGGCCGTGCCCCCCCCCCCTCCCTCAATAATTTTGCCGATATATAGAATACTATAGAAAACATAGCTACTATATACTTGTACCCCCTCAATAATAACGTCTGATGACCTTTTTTTCCTTGTCAAGGAATTTTGGTAGTGCATAGTGCCCCCCCCCCCCAACTGAAAATGTATAGTTGTGCCCCCTCACAGTGAAATCGTTCCTATGGGCCCGATACTAGTATACATGTAATTAAATTAAGAATTGATATCTTGAAAAACTATCAATGGATTAGGTATGTTGTGCTGTTGTTGCAAGATACATGTACTTAATTAATTAAAAATACCGAGCTTGGCCTAATTGAAAACCCAGTGGTAGCACAGGCACTTGTTTATGAAATAAACCTTTTAACCTATAGTACAATAATAACACAAGGGTGTTATTATTATACCCTGGGTTAAAAAATTTATCACCGAAGTGTCTGTGGGCGGTACCTAGTGCAAATTTGGTGTCGGGCGGCGCTTCGTGCTGTAGCCTAGTCGAAAATAAATTCCAGCATGCTTAGAATAGATACTTGGCTAAACAAGTTACCCCCCGGTTAGAAATCTTTAGCTAGAGTATATACAAAGCAGAGTTTACAACACCCACACTGCTGATTTATCGATTTACTATCTCAATGTGTAACTTAATATACACTTTTCGATTAAATAAAATTCTCCTAAATTGTTTAAATTAAATTACAATATTGATACTCATTGTACTAAATAATCTGGGGTTCAGAACATATGAATCAACATATTTCATTTCGATAAAAGCTCTCTACATATATACACCGAATATTTTCTCTTTATTTAATTTTTTTCGGGTTTTGTTTGTTTGTTTTTCTTTTTTCGTTTTTCTTCCCTATCTGGTTATAGCGGTGCATTTGGGTTTCTAAAATGATACAATGAGGTGTGCTCCCTGTCTCTTTCCAGCACAGGGACTTGTCCTGGAAAATGTTCATGACATTATCAGAGCTCTCTAAATAGAGAATATCTAATCCTCACTCGGGATATTTATAAATAACTAATCCTTCAATGTATTTTCTAAAAAAAAGAAGAAAAAAAAATGGCAATTTTACTCGTTACCACAACTCGATCTGGAAGGCTCTTTTTTTTTTTTTTTTTTTAAACTTTTCTGCATTTTGACTGTACGACACTTTTCATGGGAGTTTTCGTATAGAGTGAAATTATATTCTCTACAAATTCCCGTGGAGTTTAACAGTTTCATAGGAACCGGGAAAGGGAGGGTGTCCTACAATGAATTTTTTGTCTGTAAATGGATTAAGGTCCCCCCCACTTTCTACGAAAAAGAAGAGGCCCATGGGCCACAATGCTCGTCTGAGTCACTATGGCCCTTCTGTTCTTCATCAGCCGATTTCCTCCCATATATTCTCATGTAAAACTTGCATCACATATTGTGGTCCCACCCTACCTACATGGATCATGATTTGAAACAAGAGGTCCATTGGCCATAACCCTCACCTGAGTAACTTTGGCCCTTCTGTCCTTCACCAGATTTACCCCCTTGTAATACTTATTGTGGCCCCGACCTACTTCCAGGGGTCATGATTTGAAGAATTTAGAATCTGCAATACCTTAGGAAGCTTCCACATAAGTTTCAGCTTTTCTGGCTCAGTGGTTCTTGAGAAGAAGATTTTTAAAGATTTTTTCTATACATTTCAATGTCAAACTTTGATTCCCTATTGGGGCCGAACTTTTTAATGACCCTACTCTATTTTTGGTCTTTTCTTAATTATCTCTCCTTGTAAGGGGACTTGGTCCTTCATTCTAACAATTTAAACTCCCCTTTACCCAAGGATGCTTTGTACCAACTTTGGTTAACATTGGTCCAGTGATTCTTGAGAAGTTGAAAATGTAAAAAGTTTACAGACGGACGACGGACAACAGGTGATCAGAAATGCTCACTTGAGCCTTCGGTTCAGATGAGCTAAAACTCTGTGTCTGAACCTTTTAATTTGTAACTAGGGCCTATAGAAACTGTATTCACGGTCTCATTATTATTCAATCTAAGGCAATGTAGAAATGAAGGAACAAATTTCGTGTTATTCACGTCAGCATATGCATCTTTTTGCTCAATTAGGTGCGACCAATTCTCAAACTTTGGGTTTTTTAAAAAATAATTTCATGACTGAATATGGACAAGGCATGACCGCATTAGAAGAGTGACACTGCTCCTGTAACTGTATTAGCTTACAGTATTCCGTCCATTACCCGGCCCTTGACATATCCAACTCCTATGGGGAAACATTTGATCACGTGATGTAGTAGTTCTGGGGGAAACACGTGATGTAGTTATTTTTACTCTAGGAGACAACTAACAGTTCCAAAGATAAAGTGATAAGAAGTTTATTTACAAGAACAAGATTTGTGATGTTAAAGCACTAAACAGTTGTTATTTCTCTTTAAAACGATTATGTACAAATTCAGTAATGTCTACATATTATTTAAAATTAATTAGTGTAAAAATAGTGAGTTAAAATAATAATTTGATAAACTTTATACAAAATTTCAGCACCATAGCAAAACTGGGAAATATAGAAAAAGATTAAAATTCGAAATGATGTAAAAGTCTTCTTCTCGAACTCAAAATTATCTTTGACAATAAAAAATCAATACTATAAACATTTCCTCACATTAAAGATCCGGTGTCCAGAATCACATTTTTGTTGGAATGCACCATGACGCAATGTTGCACCCTTCAGTTACTGCTTTCGCTGTCACTGTCGCGGCGTCGCTTTCCTGTTGCTAGGCGTCTTGCATGAAGTTGTGTAAGGCTTGGTGCAGAGAGGTCACCATCGTTTTTGGGACAATAGCGTATTGTGTGGGCGTTGTCCCCAGAAACCCCGCAAAGAGGACACGTGTACTTACGGAGTATGGGACAGCTGACTTTCCCTTCTTCATCTTTGAGCACGTGACTGGAGTAGATGACAACAGTTTCTCCGTTGTTTTTACAGAAAACGCACAGTTTCTTTTGCTTAGCTCTCCTGGCAGCCCGCTTCCGTTCTTTGAATGCCATTACTTCCAAAACCACCGGATTCGATTCCTGCTGGACGGAAATTGACGAATGTCTCCGGAGTTCCACTTGGTAGCTGTCCAGTTCGTCCAGTTCCACGTCCCGGCCGTTATGCCTGAAATCCTCCAAAGAGTCCCTCCGCATGGCGTCCAGAGGGTCGAAGGGCCGGAATCCCAGGTCATTCAACGTACCGACACACGATCCTCCAGAAAAGGTGGCTCCGAAAAATTCCCCGTCACTGCTATTGTCGTCAAAAAAGGATGGCGAATATGTCATTAGGTTTGTGAGGTTAGACACTAAATCTTTATTCCAGGCTATGTCACTAAAACCTAGGTAGTCCTGGAAGGGTTTGTAAGGGTCCTGGGGACACACCTGTTTTCTGTGCTGAGCCATCTTGCATCTCGTGTGCCAGTCCGGGATCTGTTACGTTTAAATCTCTGCAGAGGCGGAGTTTTACTCAAACTGTCAGAAGTATTTTACGCTCGAATAATTAGAAAGCGTGAATACTTTCTATAGCCTGGTGTGAACTGATTGGTCAATTGAACAGGGAGGAGGTGACGAAGCTATTTATGCTCAATTAATGTGAGCACGCTGGCTATTACAAACCCATTAGGGCATCAAAACAATGAGAGAGAGAGAGAGAGAGAGAGAGAGAGAATATTTCCATTCCTAGTGTTGTGGTAACTGAAGAAATCTAACATACCGTATTTGGTTAGATTTTTTGAAAAAAAGATATAAAAATTTGAAAATGTGCTATTCCGTTGTTTTAAAACCTTTTTTCAACCATTGAAACTTCAATTTGGTTTGAACAACAAGCATGAATGCCCCAAATCGATCTCTCCACAGATTACGAAAGATTCATTTATTAAATTATATTTAAGGACAGACGATACGTTCCTCAATAATATATAATTTTTTCTAAGATTTTGTCATTGAAGTATTCCTACTTTAACATGTTTACTCGCAAAAAATTGGGGTACCTTACCAGGCATTTGTGCAAGATACCAGAGGATGTTGTTTCCTATAAAATCCTTATGGAAAAAACTTAATTTTCCAATATCACATTTTTTAGTGTTTTATTTTTTTTAAAGACAATCAGAAATCAGTTTAGAAATCAGAAGGTAATTGAAATTTAGAATATTTTCCATATAATACGAAGATATGCAAAACAGATATTTGAGGAACGTATCATCTGTCCTTAAGTAAGAATAATATTATGTAACATAAGTCACAAGTTCATATATATGAAATGAGAGAGAGAGAGAGAAAGAGAGAAGGGGAGTTAAGGTAAAGATGTTTATGTTGACTTGAACACGGGGAAAATTCAATTAAAGAACAGTATACTATTTAATTTGAAATAATATTCTTCCTAGCGTATACAATATTGAATATGTTATTAATGAAAACATCTGAGTTGTACGTATTTGATAAAAAAATAAAAATGTCAGCCATGAATGATTCCCTCTATGACTTCTACTAATCTTATTTATTAATGTTTTTGAATTTGTATCCCCCCTTTTAATTATATTTCATTCTGGGAGTGCAAGGATTTCAGTTCATTAATTCTTCTAGCTATTTAAGTAGTCTTATCTCAAAATCATCTAAAACAAGAAAAATAACAGAGAGTGAGAGAGAGAATCTTTATAGAGTGACCCTGTGACCAACGCCGTGGGAGGGGGGTACTTTCGTCTAATCCCATTATTTCATTTTACAAGTCAGCGCTGTTGATATACGCTCTTTGTGTTTATTAACAGAATTATAATTCTTTACATTGATATTTAAGCACGCCGAGACTTCATTAATATGTTTATTTTTGTTAATTGGTTTTTGACACATAAAGTATTCTAAATAAACAAAAGTTGCGTTTATCACTTCTAGTCTCATGGGTCATGGGAAATATATTTATAGCAGGGGGAAAACCAACTTACAACCGTGAGAAGAGAATCTGACTATAAAATGTATCCATCAAGTATAAACTGAAAATCCATATTCTATGAAATTTATCTAAAATGACATACATATACATGTATTTTTTTTTTGCTACTTTGGTTTTTCGATATAAGTTTATATATAGATGTTTTTAAATAATTCTGCATGAGAAATTTCCTATCATCAACTAAAGAAATAAAATAATATGAAATTCTGTGAACACATCTCTGCTCGCTGTATATGTCTTTTTTTTACAGCATCTATGGGAGCATGCACGAATGTAACCCTGGCCTATTTTCCTGACTATACGTGCCCAGGGCCCCAACATCCCATCTTTCATTGCTGTCACTCAAATCTTAACGAATGCCATTTAAAAAGTCACATAACAATTGATTTATATATTTTCTAATCATCAAAAGCATATCGTAAAACAGAAATGGTTCCACTGTTATCGGGGGACCCCTTAACCTCAATCCTGGGGGTTTCCGCTTGCCGTCGTGCTGCGAGGTCCTCTGAAATTGTATCCCCTTCATGTACAGGTGGTTGGAGGAAGATGAATGGGAAACCTCCATCACTTGCCTCAGCGGGGAGTTCACATGATGAGGGAATCCCTTTTGTACACTATAGGCGTAATGTTATTGTTGCTGAGGCAAAGACATAAGCAGATAATAAATTACTGTCACTAAGCCCCGTGTGCCATGGCCGAAAACTTTCTGCTGATAGAAAGATAAAACTCATTATTCTTTTAAACTATATTTTTAACAAATCTAATCAAATGGTATATAGAGGAATATTCTGAATAGATACAACATTCCGAACAGAACAGAATACTATAGTATAATTATTCAAAACAGACAAATATAGGTTGATTGAGATTACATGTGCCCTAATCTACATACCCTAACATCAAGCACACATCGTAAATTGTTTACGATTTGTTGTTGTTGTCATATGCATTTATGTTGTATAAATTTATACTAATACAATCATTGATACTTTCTTATTGTGATTTCAAAATATAAATTGCCAAAGTCGAAGTCGCCAACCTTGTTCTCTTTCATTATCAGAGAGTGTAATTTATTTTAAAGGTTAAATTAGGTTATAGTTTTAGGTTATATTTTTAAATTTTCAACTGTAATACTTTGTGAAAGTGTTTTATGTACGGAACGCGAGGGGGGGGGGGGGATCCCGTAACCAAGCACCTGTGCATACATGTACAAAAAAGCAAAGGTCAAAATGTGGGCGCTTAAAACACATACTGTTCTGATTAAAATCCCTGATTGACGAAATTTGTACATTTTCTAAAACTTTCTGGAAATTCTACGCGCTATATGTACATTTTTCATATTGCACACTTCACACTAACAACGCACATCTTGTAAACGGATTGAAAATATGTACCCGCAAATTGTACATTGTGCACACTGACAGCACACATGAATCAGCCATAGATTATGTCAGTACATGTACTATAAATGGCAAAATCGCAAATGACAAAAGCAAGACCAAGGATGTTTAAAATACACACATTTTGTCGGGTGAAGATCATTAAAACACCAGTTAAACAGCAATGACTATAATGAACATTCAGATTGAGAAGAGATAAGAAACAGTGAATATAGGAAATTTATAAAAAAGAATGAAGATGAAACAATTATATATGCACACTGTAGGACCACTTTATGCGTGTGTACATGTGTATGACTGCAGAATCTTAGTCTCCTTCTTTTAACATAAAGGGGAAAAGTAAAATTATTAACTTTAGGAATTCAAAGTTAACGTTCAAACATACCTATGTAAACCGTTATCGGGGGTGTGGGTGGGGCGCCCACGCCCCCACCCCCTCTTTCTTAAATATATATATTTTAGTGTTGATTCAGTCAATTTCTGGACCCGGGCCTGACGGCTACCATAGAGGTTGACTCTTCGTTTTCCGTATATTATACAAATCACTGACCCCTGTGACCGCTACCTACAGTTTAAAGTAAGTCTCTCTCTCTCTCTCTCTCTAAGAATGACAAGTTTATCGATTAAAATTACTTTCATCGGTGAGTATGGTTGGTCATGCTACTCTCAATTAAATATTGTTTGTGCTGGCTTAAACATATTTTATTGAGATTAGATATTATTATTCCAGTTAAATTACATGTAATTTTACTCCAGTAAAACCATTATCTGAAATAAGGTGGCCACAAAGAATCTTTAATTTAATCAGGCCCGTAGGAAGCAATTTCACTTTGAGGGGGCACAAAGATATATTTTCAGTTGGGGGGGGGGGCACTATCAACTACCAAAATTCCTTGACAAGCAAAAAAAAAAAAAAAAAAAAAGGTCATCAGAAGTTATTTTGAGGGAGCACAAGCATATAGTAGTTATGTTTTCTATAGTATTCTATATATCGGCAAAATTATTGGGGGCACCCCCCCCCCCCGTGCCCCCCGGTTCCGACGGTCATGATTTAGGAAAGGAATAAATGCAGGGTTGTTCCTAAGAATTGAAATAGAAGGGTTCATTGAAAAAGTAGAAGGGGGGTTTGGGGTTCATCCCCTAAAGGGGAGTTTAGGAAAAATACCAAAATAACCGGGGGGGGGGGGACGTCGTTATAAGCGTGGAAATTCCCCGGCCCCCGGGTCTTAGGGACAACCATGAAATGATTTTAACAGGAGTGACCGAGAAATAATTTAACTACTAAGAGTAAAAATAAATTAATTGTCAGCATTGAGTAAAAATTATTTTACTGGGATAATAGTATTCACTCGTTAGTGGTCTGTGCAGTGAAAATAATCTTAGTGGAGTTAAAAAAAAAATCATTGCCAACCATCTCGAGCAGCCTGCAAATTGCCGATTAAAACTGGTATATCAGGTCGGGTTCGGGGTTAGCCATTTTAAACAAACACCTAGCTGACATAGATGCTTCTTGGATACAACAAACAGATTCACGATATTGGTGGCAAATACATTGCATAAATGATGTGATTAAATTAACACATTGTGGTTTTGTTATCTTCATGGGTATATGATCGGAGTGTAAAATGTGACACTGCGTGAAAATGTGCTGTAATACGGCAAACACAACGGCATAGAGTACAGGTCGAATTTCCTCTAGGTGAATATTAACACGTCCTATTTCAAGCACATTTCATGAGACTTACTTACACATAAAAACACAAACCACTGATAAAATTTTCTTTTATTACAATGCTGATACGTAATAAAGAACTTCTAAGTAATACTTGTCAAGGAACTAGAACAAACATTTTAGAGAGGAATATGAATTTCAAGTTGGTCCCATTTTTAATCGATTATATAAAATAAAATTTGAGAATGCTCAAAGTTAAAAATTTTATTCAATCGTTCATATTCAAGTTTCATAAAATTTTGAAAACAATATAAAATGAATAAGAAAAAAACTACTGTATAAAAAGAAAACAACAAAAATCAACTAAAACAAAAGAAAATATTTAAAAAAAAAAAAGAAAAGAAAAAGAAAGGAAAAAATCATGTATTAATTTCTCCATTTTTAGAAACTTTGAAAGTACCATACTGATTACTTTTTGAATTTTGTAACTTTCATTTTAACTTCTCGTAAGTTTTTTCCAGACACACTTGAGCGATGTCTCTGTTCAGAGAGAAATCTGAACGGGTAAAGACCCCAGCCTTATTTCCATGTGCAGCAAAGGTTAAAGTACCTCAGCTGGGGTCAGAGGAAACAGATTTTGAATTGAAACTTGCAAACAAACCTGCACCAACCTCAGTTATTTTCAAGTCCTTTCAAGCTCCTGAACCTGTTCATAAAAGTTACTTGAAGAGAATCAGTGCTGATTTACGCTTCAGTGAAGATGTTGTGGAAGATCGATGCTTTCATATGGTGCCCTATGACACAAAGTATTTGTTCCAAGCTCTTGACCCATGTAAGCATTTTAAGTTTCTTACATAATAATAAAGAGATGTTTTGCATTGACTTGTCAGGATAATGAACAAATCAGTTATCTATTTCTGTGCTGATGGTTAGAGTACATGTAGATAATCCATTTCTTTTCATTTTAAATAAATGAATAAATTAATGTACATTAGTGTATCAAGTGAAGAGTGTTCTAATGTTAAAAACTCAAATTGTTTTAAAGATGACATTGTGTCCCCACCACCACATGCTAGGATTCCCCCGGGTCGCCATGATGCCCGAGGCATGGACCAGCGTCATATGCCATGTCACTTGACAAAATCATACAAACCTCATCTCAAACCTCTGAAGAGGAAAATAATGGAACGAGCCAGAGAAATGCACAAGTCAGTGATAGCGCAGTCACAGGACACAGCGACGGAGGTCTCGTCGGAGGAGAGTTTCTTCATGACGGAGGTGAGCGGACAAAAACAGGACAGTGCTTCTCCTCAGATCCAGGATGTAAAGAAACCAGTGCCAAAGGAAAAGAAAAAAGCTGAAGAAATCAGGCCCAAGAAAAGATCACCAAGAAAAACAGTATCAGATCAAAGTAGCCTGGACTCTGAGCGGGAAACAAAAGAGGTGTGGGAAAAATTCTGCCGAGAAAACTATGACTGGGATGCATACACTCTATCAAAGGTCAGCTCGCATATGTCAAAGTGGGTCGTTCTGGAGAAGATGCCTGATGGACCAGATAGAGACAGACTGAAGAAACTAGTGGAGGCTTGGTACGGTAGACAGGATTCCTCCGATCTGTTGCTGGAGTCTCTGGGAGAGCTTAAGAAAGAGGAACCAACTGAAGTCAAAAAAGACATGGAAAAGCCGAAGAAAAAATGGAAGAAGCCAGAGTCAACGTAAGTCAAGTAGAATGACATTCTGAATGAAGAAATTGTGAATGAAACATATAAAATTCAATTGTTTTGTTTTTATACTGAAGAAACAATTTTATAGAAATTGAGTGTAAATTTTTTTGTGCAGGATACTCGCTCGAGTATATGAGATGGATATTGCAGAGGAAATAACAGAACCTCATGCTCATGACCCATACTCAGACGACTCTAAGGCCCCGTTTTACAGGAAACCAGTCGGTTTACGGCGGGCAATTAAACATGCAGAAAAGGAGGAGGAAGGTAACACTTTGAAACTTACCCTCCTAACCAACAATTTGTTTTTTATACCCTCTTACAAATCCAAATTAGTCATTACTGATAAATCAAAACTAAAAAAAAGTTTGAAAAAAGAATAGACTCTAAAATAAAAGTGCTATAAGTACATCAGAGTTTTATTTTACTATTTATTGATATCCTCACTAGGTTCACCTTGTGATGCATGCTGTAATTTTTTTGTTCACGTTTCATTCCATATATTTGTTTCCTTGTCTTTGTGTAACCAGAGTGTTTGTCTGTTTGTTACTCATTTGCACCTGTTTGTTTTATTCACCTTCCCATGGCTGATCTCCAGTGACCAATAGTGCAGGTTTGTACCAATTTTTATCACACAGCACTTTGACTAATACCCAGGGGATAGTTGACTAATACCCAGGGGATAGTTACTAATACCCAGGGATAAGGGCTCTTCAGTAGTACATAAACCATAAGTATACTGTACATGTATGTTTGATTAACATGTATTTCAGAGTTTCTATTTTTTCTTTGTTTTGTAAATTATAATTTTTACTATTAGAAAACTTTGGGAATAAGTAATCTGGTGCTCGGAGAGATTAAACTGGTTATGGAGAGATTTAACGGAATCAAATTAGACTTAGTTATACCCACATTAATTTTACTATTGTAACTCTTTAGCAGTACCATTCATTGTCCTGTAAACAATGTGGTACATAAATAATACTTAGCTTTTGCCTTTTGAATTCAGACTAATGAAACTTAGAAATTAATTAAATTACATATATCAACATTAAAAGCATTTTCATGAATTTGACACAAGCAAACCTATGCAGTCCTCATTCATATTATTGTTTTTTTTTAAGAATTCTCAAAATCAAATTAAAGAATGCTATTGTACGCATAGGTGCCATCAATGCTACGGCTGATATCACTATCGACTACACTTATGAGCCGCCTGCCCCACCCACCATCCGTGACTTTATTAACCCTGCTGTGGGAGACAAGTTCTATGATACAGACAATCAGTTTCAACAGGAGATGTTGATAGGTAAGCAAGGATTGTTATAGAGGGGATGGATGTCGGTAAATAATGCTGCATACAATGGAGAGGGGATGAAATCTGTAAATAATGCTGCATGGAATGGAGAGTTCAGAATCAACAAAAGTGCTATTAGAGAGCAAACTTCTCTATATTATAATGCTATTAGACAGCAAACAATTCTATATAATAATGCTATTAGATAGCAAACTTCTCTATATAATAATGCTATTAGACAGCAATATTCTCTATATTAAAATGCTATTAGACAGCAAACAATTCTATATAATAATGCTATTAGACAGCAAACTTCTCTATATTATAATGCTATTAGACAGCAAACTTCTTTATATTAAAATGCTATAAGACAGCAAACTTCTCTATATTATAATGCTATTAGACATCAAACTTCTCTATAATATAATGCTATTAGACAGCAAACTATTCTGTATTATAATGCTATTAGACATTTAACTTCTCTATATTATAATGCTATTATAGACAGCAAACTTCTCTATACTATAATGCTATTATGGAAACTTCTCTTTATAATGCTATTAGACAGCAACCTCTCTTTATTATAATGCTATTAGACAGCAAACTTCTCTATATTATAATGCTATTATAGACAGCAAACTTCTCTATATTATAATGCTATTATAGAAACTTCTCTTTATAATGCTATTAGATAGCAACCTCTCTATATTATAATGCTATTATAGAAACTTCTCTTTATAATGCTATTAGACAGCAAACTTCTCTATATTATAATGCTATTAGACAGCAAACTTTTGTATATTATAATGCTATTAGACAGCAAACTTTTCTATATTATAATGCTATTAGACAGCAAACTTTTGTATATTATAATGCTATTATAGACAGCAAACTTTTCTATATTATAATGCTATTAGACAGCAAACTTTTGTATATTATAATGCTATTAGACAGCAAACTTTTCTATATTATAATGCTATTAGACAGCAAACTTTTCTATATTATAATGCTATTAGACAGCAAACTTTTCTATATTATAATGCTATAATTTCATGAAAATTTAGCGTAAATATACTTCAAAATTAAATAAGGTGTCCTGATACTTTGGTGTTATATATAGTATTTGATGATTGTCAGGGGTGGATCAAGTTCACATAGAGGAGTCTGACAAGATTGTACTGAGTACTGGTCATAAATATCAGAAAAATCTACAGCCTGAACACCCACAGAACCCAGAGACCTGGTATAATGAGCCAGAGGCTAAACCACCACATGAAGTGAAGGAGTCACCACGCATCAAAAAGGTGGAGAAAGGACTTCGTCGCTGGAAAAAACTCCCCGAGCCAGCGGATGTAAGGAAAGCTTTATGTGTGATTGTTGTCAAAAAGGAATAAGCAGTGATATTTAAAGGACACATGACACAAAAAATATTCTGTCTGCATTCAATGTATTTATCATTCTTAAGTCAGATTCTCACACTGAATCTGTTAAACAAGCATCAGATAACAACGCACAGCTGGATAAAGTAATCTATAAATACTAGCCGAAGCAGTTCTCCGAGCAATGCCGACAGTTAATGAGATAAGCGTCACGTGGGTGTTTAGCATCTCTGTGCTGAAGCTGATCTCTGACGTCACCTCGACTATTTCCGATCTCTGGGCTTTAAAATATGCATATTGAGGTCAAGCCGCTTATCAGCACTGTGTTACAGCACTAGCTGTGAAACAGATGCTTGTTTAACAGCTTCAGTGTTAGAATCTGACTAAAGGATGATTAAGACATTGAATGCAGACAAAATATTTTTTGTGTCATGTGTCCTTTAATTCTGCTGAAGACGAAATGTATATGTATATGTCCGAGTACATGTATTACCATGTATTATAGAAATATAAAATTCTGAAAATGGTTAAATGTGGAATAGAACAAAGTGATATTAAGCCTTAATTAGGAATGGTGTTATTTTTAAGTATTGAAATAATATTAGATCTGCACATCATCCGCCCTCTCTTCCCATGATATCAAATATTGATCAAATTCGTGGTTATTTTCTGTGTTTAGGATTCAGCAGAGTTTAACATGATTCCTCCGGGTTTTGACCCTGAATACCACAGGTCACCAGATCCCACCACTCGGAGGCTGACCAAACAGAATGCCTCATTACTTCAAGTCAGTAAGTAAAATTACAAACTCAAGTCAGAAAGTAACATTACAAACTCAAGTCAGTAAGTAAATTACAAACTCAAGTCAGTAAGTAAAATTACAATCTCAAGTCAGTAAGTAACATTACAAACTCATGTCAGAAAGTAATATTACAAAATCAAGTCAGTAAGTAACATTACAAAATCAAGTCAGTAAGTAACATTACAATCTCAAGTCAGTAAGTAATATTACAAACTCAAGTCAGAAAGTAATATTACAAAATCAAGTTAGTAAGTAACATTACAAACTCATGTCAGAAAGTAATATTACAAAATCAAGTCAGTAAGTAACATAACAAACTCATGTCAGTAAGTAACATTACAAAATAAAGTCAGTAAGTAACAATACAAACTCAAGTCAGTAAGTAACATTACAAACTCAAGTCAGTAAGTAAAATGACAATCTCAAGTCAGTAAGTAACATTACAAACTCAAGTCAGTAAGTAAAATGACAATCTCAAGTCAGTAAGTAACATTACAAACTCATGTCAGAAAGTAATATTACAAACTCAAGTCAGTAAGTAACATTACAAACTCAAGTCAATTAGTAACTATTGAATCTTTCTGTCATTTTGTAGGAAAAAAAATCAAAGAATCATTAAATTAGTTTTTATTAAAGGAGGCTAAAATTACAGATGCATCAAAAAATTGAGTCAACTGATAGCTTTCTTGTATAGATTACTAAATTTGTAATTACAAAGGAAGATAAGGTTACTAATTAGACCTGTTTATGTGTAGTTGATGAGTGGAGACAGAAGTGGCACCTGAGTGGTCAGTTGGTGGACAGTAAGCCAGAGGATCTCATCAAAGACATGGCAGACATACAGAGTCATGTCCGACTGAAGGCCATAGCCACCATTGCCAAGGTCGCCGAGTATCGTCCCCCGGCCCAGGAGATCTCAATTTATGGAGATACACCCTCACTTAAAGCCCCATTCCAAGAGCTACCCCACAAACTGTTTGTTGCTCTTGAGTGTCTGTTGGATGATAAAGTGGATCGTGTCAAACTAGCAGCAGCGATTACACTCTACTCACTCAACAAGCCAGGTGAAAAGGTACGATGAATATACTTAAGATTTTTTTTTATGCTTGCATTAATTTCATACTCTTTATATCATACATTTTCTCTCATATTGAATAAACTTTGTTATCTAGAGTCAATACAAAAGTCAAAGAATGCCTGTGCCACAAATGTTTGGCTAACTGACATGGCTGGTAAAGTATATCACACTAATTCCTTTGTAGGCCAGACAAGTTCTTCAGCTGGCTCTACAGAGTGAGACCAGTGTGGACAGATGGGCTGCTGCCCAGTGTCTTGCCCATGATGGCCTCTGTAACTCGCTAGTAGTGGGCGAGATTGTCCGTCAGCTGTTAGAGACAGAGGATACCATTAAACACGAGAAAGCTATCTACTTACTTGGCAAACTAAGCATTTTCTCTGTAAGTGTTTTTGCAGTTGCTAGAATAAGGTTCTCTTAGTTTAAATGTTTAAAAACTTTTAATGAGACCCTTTAAATATAATTACATGCAATGGTTTCAACTTTGGTATATTCTCTGCATTACATGTTCTTTTTATATTTATACTGTTCACAGAGTTATTTTTAACCCCCCTCCCCTTTATTTTGCTCTTTTTAATGTTCAAACAAGTTTGCCTTGTTTATAATTTGCCCCAAGAGATACCCACTAATGTAGTCTTTCTTGAATCCATCCCATTTTAAATTCACCCACATGGGACTGAGCAAAAAAAAAATAATTGGGCAAAATTTGTTCTATATACAGTATAGATCATATATTTTTAATTGCAGCTTGTATTTTGCTGTATGCCATTCTGATAAATTCCTTTCTTTGTTGTAGCCTTTAGTTCATTGTATGGTGGCTGAACAGTTAAACAGCAGTAGCTGGAGACATAAAGTCATTGCCTGTAAAATACTTCCCACACTTCATGGCACCATTAACAAGGCAAGGACTCTTAAGTTATTAATTTTTTGTCCCATTATCTAAAAAAATTCGTAAAAATCATCTATGATTTACAACATGCTTCCATGGTGAAGATGAACATTTTACACTCTCCTATCTAGGATGTAACCAATAAGTTGATGGATTTGATGTGGAATGACTGGCATGAAGATGTCCGTAAGGGCGCCGCCCAGTGCCTCGGTAAAACCAGCCATGGTAGGGAGGTCCACGATGACCTCAGAGAGAGGATTATCAAAGGCAATGAAGCCACGAGGCTAGAAGCCATCAGTAAAATTGGACAATTAGGTATCAGAGTGTTTAATGCAGTGTCCTCGTTACAGTCATCTTTAATATCAAACTAGTTTTCATTTTTAACAGAGAAGGGGGATAAGAAAGTTACAATTTCTTTCCTAATTTTTTTCTATTTCTATTTTAATGTGTTTAATGTGTAGCCTTCAGTTGGGAGAAATGTATAAGGAAAATGTACTTGTATATAGGTGTAAAAAAAAGAAGTCATTTTAAAATAGATCAAACCTGTGGATAAAACGCTCAATGTAATTAATGTCTGATTTTAGGTATAATGACAGCCAAACTACTGCCTGTGTTCCTGAACTGTTTTGAAGATGAATACATTTCTGTGAGATCTGAAGTCTGTATAACTTGTGGCAACCTGGAGATAAAAGATGAACAAGTTATAGAGAAGCTGATCCATTTAGCTACTTTTGATCCCATCTGGAAAGTGAAGGCTTTAGCTATTCAAGGTAAAAGAAAAGTGCTTTTTAAAATTACTAGTACTTTTCCAAAGTGTTCTTTTTTTGCACTTGGTTTATTGACTCTGGGTAAAATAATATATGCGTATGTTGCAGTCAAATCTATTTGTCCATCTGTTGAAAAAATTAAAATGACTTTGTTTTCAACATCTTCAGTGGAGAGTCATTAATTCTCATTACATAATGTATTGATGATGAAGGATTTTAGATTTTTAGCTCACCTCAACAGAGTTGGGGGAGATTATGTAATACCCTCGGCGTCAGCGTTCCAGGTTAAAGTTTTTGGAGCAGATTTCTTTTCAAGTACTTAGTACTAGCTTCTCTGCCCTAAATATTAATCAGAGATTCATGGAATATGCTTCTAGTATGTTTTATTGTACCAGTCAAGGTTTCAGATGCTGCAATTTCAGCTAAAGAATGACCAGGTTAATGTTTATGGAGCAGGTTAAAGTTTTTGGAGCAGCTCATTTCCAAGTAACTATAAGCCCTATATAACTTGCATGGATGATACATCTAAGGATGCACAGTGTACCAGGCTTGTTTCGGATGCTGGATCTGACCTACATTTTCTGGATGATAGACCAGGTTTAAGTTTTTGGAGCAGATCTCATTTCCAAGTATCTGTAAGCCATATATTAACCAAACTTGCATGAATGATACATCTAAGGATGTACACTACCAGGCTTGCTTAAGATGCTGGATCAGACCTACATTTTCCAGATGAGTGACCAGGTAAAAGGTTTTGGAGCAGATCTCATTTCCAAGTAACTATAAGTCCTATGCTGACCAAACTTGCATGGATGATACATCTAAGGATGCACACTATCTGGCTTGCTTCAGATGCTGGATTTGACTTTCATGAGTGACCAGGTTAAAGTTTTTGGAGCAGATAACTATAAGCCCTTTGCAGACCAAACTTGCATTTATGATACTTCAAAGGAAACAATACTGAACTTGCTTCAGATGCTGGATTTGACCTACATTTTCTGGATGAGCAACCAGGTTAAAGTTTTTTGAGGAGTCCTTGACCAAGAGACTATATGGTCCATCTGAACCAAACTTGCATGGATGATGCATAGATTATTAGTTTAGTGTGGGACTTTGCCTTACTTAAAGACAAGATTCGTTGAGATGAGCTTTGTAATCTCTGATTACCTATGTTTTTCCCAATATTTCTGAATTTAGTCAATGTTTGGAAAGTGCAGAATTAAATGTCAATTAAGGTAAATAAATAAAAAGTGATAAAGCAATATTCCAAGTTATGTTCAACCTTACATAAATAAGAGTAAAAGACATGTTGTTTTTACATGATAGCTATGGGAAACATACGTGTGGTCTATTTTTATGTTGTAGCTATGGGTAACATAGGTGTGGTCAATGAGGAAATTACTGAAACTTTATTGTGGGCGGTCAGGTATGAGGAGAAGCCAGGGGTGAGAGCAGAGGCCTGTCACACCCTGATGATGCTGAAACTAAAGACAGAGGATGTGGCAGAGGTCCTACAGGAGAGATTCCTTGTGGAATCTAGCAGTGTAGTCAGAGAGTAAGTGTCTGTCTAGTCAAAGAGTAAGTGTCTCTCTGGTTAAAGAATACAGGCAAGTGTCTGTCTGGTCCAGTGAAGAAAGTAAGTGTCTCTCTAGTCAGTAAGTGAGTGTCCATCTTGTCAGAGACTAAGCTTGTCAGAGAGTAAGTGTCTATATATTCAGTCAGAGAGTAAGTGTTTGTCTAGTCAGAGAGTGTCTGTCTTGTCAGAAAGTGTCTGTCTAATCAAAAATGAGTGTCTGTCTTGTCAGAGAGTAAGTGTTTCTAGTCAGAGACTAAGCGTCTGTCTTGTCAGAGAGTAAGTGTTTATCTAGTCAGAGACTAAGTGTCTGTCTTGTCAGAGAGTAAGTGTTTCTAGTCAGAGACTAAGTGTCTGTCTTGTCAGAGTGCAAGTGTTTCTAGTCAGAGACTAAGTTTCTGTCTTGTCAGAGAGTAAGTGTTTATCTAGTCAGAGACTAAGTGTCTGTCTTGTCAGAGAGTAAGTGTTTCTAGTCAGAGACTAAGTGTCTGTCTTGTCAGAGAGTAAGTGTTTCTAGTCAGAGACTAAGTGTCTGTCTTGTCAGAGAGTAAGTGTTTCTAGTCAGAGACTAAGCATCTGTCTTGTCAGAGAGTAAGTGTCTGTTCAGCCAGAGAGTAAGTGTTTGTCTTGTCAGAAAGTATCTGTCTAGTCAAAAACGAGTGTCTGTCTTGTCAGAGAGTACTTATCTGTCTAGTGACTCTCTAAGTGTCTGTCTAGTGACTCTCTGAGTCTTTAAGTCTGTCTAGTCAATAAGTGAGTGTCTATCATGTCAGAGAGAAAGTGTCGTCTAGGAAGAGAGTAATGTCAGTCTAGTGACTCTCTAAGTGTCTGTCTAGTCAGAGAGTAAGTGTCTGTGTAATCAAAGATTTCTGTCTGCTCAAAGAGTAAGTGTCTATCTAGAAGTGTCTAAAAATGTTAAACTGCTATTTTAGAGGGCTATTATACCATTTAAGAGTTATTTTGATATATTTTGACAGGGAGATAGCTAACACATTAGAGATGTTTGGAATCAGTGCCACGGAAGATATGGACATGGTAGCTCAAATAAAGAATGAAGTCCGTAAACTTTGCACCAAGGGTAACATTGCAGCCCAGATTTCTCTGAATGAAGCCGATGATCTGAAGCATGAAAACCTGAGTAGAATGATTTACGAGAACGAAAAAGAAATGGAGGTACATCCAGGACTTCCTGTTTTTTGCTCCCTGTCTGTTCTCTGCTTTTTGTTTTGCCTTTGCTATGTATACATAGAATTACTTAAGCAAAATTAAGCTAACTATAGGTCTTTTTCTGCTTAATATCACATCTCAAGCCTCTCTTTTGTACACAATCTAAATTTCATGTACAGCTGCTTATTCAGAAGTATAAAATATACAGTACCACAGTCATACGATTGTCCTCAAAAGAGATCTTTTTTCTTATCAAATCATTTTATAATCAAATACCTCTAAATGGTCCATTGTTTCATATCCTGTCCATTAATAAACATTTTTAAAACCTTGAATGAGCAGTTGTACTGTGTTTTAATGACTGACTTGCACCTGAGAACTTTGCTTTGCTTACACTTTGCTAACAGCGTAGAAATCCATACTCGGTCATCTTACTGAGATCTGCCAAGTCGAGTAAGAGTCACTGTCACTTCACCTACAGTGTGTCCAGTCTGTCATACACCAGGCTATCTAGAACAAGGAAAAGTAAGGTAAATGTCTAGTCTGTCATACACCAGGCTATCTAGAACAAGGAAAAGTAAGGTAAATGTCTAGTCTGTCATACACCAGGCTATCTAGAACAAGGAAAAGGAAGGTAAATGTCCAGTCTGTCATACACCAGGCTATCTAGAACAAGGAAAAGTAAGGTAAAACCTATGTTAATTGATCTTTCCTATAAATGTGTCAATTTCTATTTTTGGTAACTTAAGGACCAGTTTAAGCTGAACTTGATGAACTTGATTAATCATGTCAAATTATTATATAAGATGTAGTCCTACCTATATTTTTATGTATGAGAAATATGTTCATATAAAAATTTTTTTGGAAAGGTTCTCTAAATAGTAAAACCCTCTCTACTAGAGATTGATCTAGTTCAGTTTTGCATAGAAGATATTCTTTTACAAAATATAAACAATTACTTCAATGTATTTATATAGTCATGCCTCAGATCCAGCATGTGCCCATGTTAGATTGAGTTTTAGGAACATGTTCATTTCTGCATGTACATGTATGCACCTACTGTAAAAATCTAAAGATGCACACTCCAAATCTTGCTGAATTTTTGCCACTGGTGCATGTGTACACCAATCCTTGTAGTGCTTTTTTTCAATTTCAGTTACCAAATAAGCAGGTTAATAATATTTTTAACAACATTGCATGAAACAATATACTATATTATCATTCTTTCAGAGATAAAATTTGGCATACTAACCATGCATGCATCTAGGGATACACCACACCTCTTTTTATGCTGCATTTAACTTTAATTTTATATAAGCAGGTCTACAAACCTCACTTGTACTTTGAAAACTTAGGTGAATTTAGGTGGTATGCTTGCAAAATCTGCCATTTTTATTTACAGATGCTAAATCTATGACTTTAATTTTATGTTGTTTGATATTGTAGATAGTAGTTACCTTATACATGTATGTAATGATTTTCTTGATATAGCAACAAATTTGATAAAATGAAATATTTTGGTAAATCAAACCTAGATTAGAGAGAATTAATGGTTAGAAATGATATAAGTAATGGATATATGCTGAATACTGTTCTATATCTAAAATTATCGGACTGTTTGAGGCCCGTTAGGGCCGAAAACAGTCTGATAATTTTACATATAGAATTGTATGAGGCATATATCTTACTTAAAACATTGCTATTTAAATGTCCAAAAGTTACCTGGAAGAATCCGATAATTACACAATAGGAGTTCAGGCATCAATAGTTTTCTACCCGAAACCATCTAATAAGTAGACAAAAGAAAAGAGAAAGTTTTTTTTTCTTTAGACAGTAAAATCAGTGAGTGAACTCTTTTCTTTCATTCATTCAATGGCAGTCGTTTGGCTTAGCAGGAACTATGGCCAGTGGTTAGGTGATGAAGGATTTTTTTATGATTCGGAAGATTTTTTTTATTAAGTGCGTTTGACGTTGATACAGTGTTGGATGATATCTTCAAAATGCATTTAAAGTAAAAATGCGGATTATTATTTGAAAATTTTGATTGGATGATATAATGAAAATCTTAGGTTTTAAAAGTGCGGTCATTGGCCAACAAACCTCGTTAAATGAAGAGATTCGCAGACTGGTTCTTTATCAGAATTGGATTAAAATTGGCTTATTCACAGTGCTGTATCGAAAATGCTTTGCAAAGAACAGAATGGAAAGTGTTACTTTTGAGGAAGGTTAAAACTCCAGTATCTTCTTGGATTTGCTATTTTTAACAAATTAATTACCTCGTGTTCGCTTTCCCTGAATTTTTTCTCCCTAACTTTTTTTTTGGTTTCTGGACAAATTAAACCTTGATTTCACTCTAGTTGTTGTTTTTTAACTACTGTCCGATTTTGTTATCACTGCCGTCCGATAATATATTTTTGGACTGCTAATTATTATTATCGGACGGCTACAGGTAAATTTTTAGACTGCAAGAACAAAGGCATGACGTCACAGCAATGTTTTAAATAAAAATATATATGAAAACCTTCTTGATATGACATTTTTTTTGCTTGCATCTTTAATCCTTAAATTTAAATTTTTCCCCCAATCTTTATTATTAATTTTTGTGTAATTTTCTGTTTAGGAGAGTGAAGAGAAACTTCCACCAATGATGGAGAGAATAAGATCAATGAGTCAGGCCAGTGATCGCCCTGACACATCTCAAAGGAAGGTGATAGGTGATAGACCCCACACTCCTCATCAGAGGAGTGTCTCCCCCACCCCGAGCCGTGAAGTCTTCACCCCGACTGCAGATGAAGAACTTCATCAAATCATGTCACGAGAGGACACCAGGAGTGAAGTGGCCACACCCGAGGCCAGACCCACATCAGGCCGACAGCACGACTCAGGTACACCCAAAGATCAGGGCACACCCAAGGGATCAGAGAGGTCAAAGGTCACAACAGAGGACAGTGATGTGACGGACAGCAGTGAGAGGGAATTTTCCTCAGCTACTGGTGGGAGGACTCCAGAGACAGAACGACCAACCAGTGTGGTGAAATTTGCATCTGAATTACAGGTGGAGGAAATTCCTGGTCGTTCCACACTAACTCCTTCAAAGTCTGCCATGGAGGACATGCGTGTGTCGACTCGTCTTAGTAGCATGGCAGGAGGGCGTGTGTCGTCTGATGTCAGGGCTTTCAGTCGGGATGCCATCAAGGAGAGGGAGAAGATAAACACAGAGGCATTAAAGAGCTATGCTGGGCTGGACATGCGATATTATGATATGATAGAGGATCTTATCCAAGTAGACAATACATACGAGTTGATGACTGGTCAAAAGCCCAAACAACCAGAAGTTGAACTGGTCAAAAAGATCACGATGATTCAGTCTCCGTCAAAGGCACTGATCGCCCAATCAGATGAGGCTATACCAGTGGACGATGAGGATAATGACGTCCAGTCGTCCGTCATCATCACAGTCACGGCTGATGAGGATCAAAACAGTATTACTAATTAATCTGTTAATTAAAGCTTTTCTATTTTATTGTTTACTGTAGTTGTGCATTTAGAATCAAGGTTGACAACTGAAGGTGAAAGTGCATTAAAGAGAGATGTTTTTTCTGTGATATATTTTTATTCATGTTATCAATTTATGATGAGAGGAAAATTATAACTGTGATACATATATATTGTGTTTAATTAATTCTTATTATGTCATATTTGAAAAAATAAATATGTCTAAATATAGAATAGATATATTTTTCTGCAGTTTTCAGTAAGATAAATATTATTTCACTTTTAAAAAATAAGTTAAATAGTTTAACTTGCAAAACATAACTAAAGCTGTAAACTGTGGTGTAATTATGAAGTGTTAAATAACAGAACATATAGGAAACAACATCAGTTGGGGAAGGGGGCACAACTGTAAACAACATCAGTTGGGGAAGGGGGCACAACTGTAAAAAACAAGAGGCCCAAGGGCCTTAACGGTCACCTGAGTATGATAAAACAATTTCAAGGATGCATAGAGTATAAAATGAACTGAAAGGTGAAGCTTTGTTGCCCAAAAGCAAGAAAAATAGGGTGATCATGATCAACAAAATAATTGGTCTTAATATTCATTAACAGTTCATAAATTAGATTCTAATCTGTTCCCCATTTATCACTATCACTATACAGTATATTAACAAATTATCAATGCTTCTGTACTATTTTAATCCCTTGTTGAAATCTCTTACATTGGCATCTCTTGGTCTTTGATGAATATTTAATAAGACAAGTTATTTTTGTCTCATTTTTATTTATCTACTACTTACAAGTCTATCTGATCATTAAAACTATGAAAGTACTTTTTGTATTATACAATAAAAGTTTTTGCAAAATTCTCTTATTCTATTTACCTTTCAAGTACATTATTTACAGTGATAAATTATCAAAAGTATATGGTAAAGGGGAATAACTCCTCTCAGTAGAATACAAACTAATAGAGCCCTGGCCAGGACCAGAACACTTGACCAAATGGTCCAGATGTTCAAAAATCTGGTAAAAATTCCCTTCCTTATAAAAACTTTTACTCTGTTTGCCTCAGATATGCCCAGGTGCGGAGAAGATTTTTAAATAAATAATGCATTTTTACTACAGATTCACTATATTATCAATAGAGCCCCCCCCCCCAACCCCCCACCCCCAAAACACCAGAGCTTCTGACCCTGGGACCATATGTTTGCTCATCATCACTTTGTTTATCTGTTTAACACTAAGGAGCAAACAGGATTATTTAATAGAATTAATGCATTTTCACTAAATTATCAAGAGCCCCACCCTCACACCAGCACATCTGACCCAGGGGTCATGAAATTCACTCCTCTGGAAGAAGCACACTTGCTCATCATAACTATACACTTAGCTTCTTTGCTTTTTTAACCAGAAGAAGAAAAGAATATTTTCAAAGAAATTTTGCTTTTTCACTTTATAATCAATAGAAGCTCCCCCCCCCCTTTCACCAGAACCCTTAAACCTGGGGTCATAAAATCCACAATTTTGGGAAGAGGCATCCTTGTGTATCATAACAATGTACTTTAGCCTGTTTAAGCAATACCCAGGGGCAGAGAAGATTTTCAAAGAAATAATTCACCTTCACTATAGGATCTATATAGCCCCGCCCTAGCACCAGAACTCCTGTCCCCAGGGCCATGAATTTCACAATTTTGGAAGAGGCATCCTTGCTTATCATAACAATGTACTTAGTTTGTTTAAATAATACCCAGGTGCAGAGAAAAAGATTTTTAAAGAATTAAAACATTTTCACTTTATAATCAATAGAGCCCCGCCCTAACACCAGAACCCCTGATCCAGGCGCCACGAATTTCACAATTTTGAAAGAGGCATCCTTGATTATCATAACTATGTATTTAATATGTTTCAATAATACCCAGGAGTAGAGAAGAAGATTTTCAAAGGATTAATGCATTTTCACTATATAATCAATAGAGCCCCACCCTAACACCAGAACCCCTGACCCAGGGGCCATAAAATTCAAAATTTTGAAAGAGGCACTCTTGCTCATCATAACTATGTACTTAGTTACTGAATTTAATACCCAGGAGCAGAGAAGAAGATTTTCAAAGGATTAATGCATTTTCACTATATAATCAATAGAGCCCCGCCCTAACACCAGAACCCTTGACCCACGGGCCATGAATTTCACAATTTTGAAAGAGGCACTCTTACTCATTATAACTATATACTTAGTTAGTTTATTTAATACCCAGGAGCAGAGAAGAAGATTTTCAATGAATTAATGCATTTTCACTATATAATCAATAGAGCCCCACCCTAACACCAGAACCCCTGCCCCTGGGGCCATGAATTTCACAATTTTGGAAGAGTCACTCTTACTCATCATAACTATATACTTAGTTAGTTTATTTAATACCCAGGAGCAGAGAAGAAGATTTTCAAAGAAATAATGCACTTTCACTATATGATCTATATAGCCCCGCCCTAGCACCAGAACCCCTGACCCTGGGGCCATGAATTTCACAATTTTGGTAGAGGACTCAATGCTTATCACAATGATGCCAACAGTTTGACTGCTTGATGTCCAGGAGTAAAGAAGAAGATTTTTAAAGATTGCATTAATTTTGGTGGTTTTAGCCCCACCCCTCAGGCCCCAGGGGGGCAGGGACCATGAAATTCACAATTTTTGTTTCCCTTCACCCATAGATGCTATATGCCAAATTTAGTTGAAATTGGTTGAGCGGTTTCAGAGAAGAAGCTAAAAATGTTCAAATGTTAACGCACATCGCACGACGCACGTCGCACGACGCACGCCGACGGACAAAAACGGATAGCAATAGGTCACCTGAGTGACTCAGGTGACCTAAAAAGGGTATCACTATTGAGGGAACAACTGGTTTTATATTAAAACAAGAAATGTTTGAGTAACATATACTTATTATGCCCCCCCCCTTATTTGGCAATATTAAAATGGGAACAACTTTAAATTTAGAATGTCTGTAATGAAAGTGAAAACAATTGGTCATCTACTTAGTCAAGGGCAAACATAATGTAACTAAGTTTGATCTCTATCAGACCTTAATATCATTAGAGGTAATTTTAGAGGGTAATACCAGTGTATCAAATTTGATTGCTGTAAAGAAAATGGTTCTCAAGATACTGAGCTGACAATATCTTCCTATGTCTAGTGTCTGTTTTGTTTGACCCTTGACCAATGTGATCTTTGATTTTGTGACATTAAAATCAATAGGGTCTATCTATTCCTTAAGGGGAACCATGTTCCAAGTTTGATGTCTATCATTCAAACAAATGGTCATCTTTGATATTGAATGGACAATAACTTAGTTCCTAATATGTCTTGAGTAGTTTCACCCTTGACCTTGTGACTCCAAAATGTATAGTAGTCATCTACTCCTCAGGGGAAACCAGTGTATCAAGCTTTTTGTCTATTAAGTAAATGATTCTAAAGATATTAAGCAGTCAATATTTTCAAATTTTCATTTTGACCCCTGACCTTTGACTTTGCGATTTCAAAATCAATAGGGGTCATCTATTCCTTAAAGGGAACCAGTGTATCAAGTCTTATATCTCTCAACCACAGGATTCTCAAGATATTGAGCAGATAATACTTGGTCTACTGACAAACCAAGTTTGTGTCCTGTGAATTTTTAAGTCTTTCAGGTTTAAATCCATGACTGGGTTATATTTCAAACTGGTACCAAATAAAAAAAGTTATACGAAACTGAATAACTAGGAAAGGGCTCTCTGGTGTACCAATTAAATAACAAGCGTATAATACAACAACTGAGAGGATCATAGAGTATAAAATCAACTGATAGATGAAGCTTTGTTGCCCAAAAGAGAAGTAAGAAGATCAGGATCAACAAAATAATTGGTCTAATATTCAGTAACAACTCATAAATTAAGTTCTAATCTGTCCCCCTCTCATCACTTTCACAATGTAGACTATTAACAAACTATTAGTGCTTCTGTACCATCTTTAACACCATAATATAACCTCTCACATTGACCTTTCTTGGTCTTTGAAGAACATTTAATAAGATATTTTGTCTCATTTTTATTTATCTATTATTTACAGGTCTATCTGATCATTAAAACTAAGAAAGTACTTTTTGTATTATAAAATAAAATTCTAGCATAATTCTCTTATTCTATTAACCTTTCAAATACAGTGATTAATTATCAAAGGTGAATGGAAAAGGGGAATAACTTCTCTCAGTAGAATAAGAATTAACAGAGCCCTGCCCAGGACCTGATTGCTTGACCAAATCAAAATCTGGTAAAAATACCCTTGCTTATTAAAACTTTTACTCAGTTTGCCTCTGATATGCCCAGAAGCAGAGAAGAATTTCACATGTATAATGCATTTTCACTACAGATTCAACACAGCCCTACCCTAACACCAGATCCCATGACCCAGGGTCAAGAAATTTACAAATTTGGAAGAGTTACCCTCAGCATCATAACTATGCACTTCAAAGAATTAACACATTTCCACTATATTATCAATACCCCCCCCCCCCCCCCACAGTAATGCCAGAACCCCTGACCCTGGGATGGGACCACAAGTTTTAAAATTTCTGTTAGAAGCACCCTTATTCATCATAACTATGCAATTTTTTTTATCTGCACAACACTAAGGAGTAATTAATTAATTAATTAAAATAAATAAGGATTAATTAATAGAATTAATGCGTTTTCATTTTATTATCAATAGAGCCCCACCCTTACACCAGAACATCTGATACAGGGGCAATGAAACTCAAAATTCTGAATGAAGCACTCTTGCTCATCATAGGTATACACTTAGTTTCTTTGCTTTATAACCAGAAGCAGAAAAGAACATTTTCAAAGATATTATGCTTTTTCACTATATAATCAATAGAGCCCCCCCCCCCCCCTTTTCCACCAGAACCCCTGATCCAGGGGCAATATATTTCACAATTTTGGAAGAGGCATCCTTGCCTATCATAATCATGCACTTAGTTCGTTAAAATAATCTCCAGGGGCAGAGAAGAAGATTTTCAAAGTATTAATGCATTTTCACTACATAATCAATAGAGCCCCACCCTAACACCAGTACCCCTGACCCAGGGGGCATGAAATTCATAATTTTGGAAGAGGCATCCTTACTCATCATAACTATGAACTCAGTTAGTTTGTTTAATTCCCATGAGCAGAGAAGAGGATTTTCAGAGTATTAATGCATTTTCACTATATAATCAATAGAGCCCCACCCTACACCAGAACCCCTGACCCAGGGGCAATGAAATTCACAGTTTTGGAAGAGGCATCCTTGCTTATCATAACTATGTACTCAGTTAATTTGTTTAATTCCCATGAGCAGAGAAGAGGATTTTCAGAGTATTAATGCATTTTCACTATATAATCAATAGAGCCCCACCCTACACCAGAACCCCTGACCCAGGGGCAATGAAATTCACAGTTTTGGAAGAGGCATCCTTGCTTATCATAACTATGTACTCAGTTAGTTTGTTTAATACCCAAGAGCAGAGAAGAAGAATTTCAAAGAATTAATGCATTTTCACTATATAATCAAATATATAGAGCCCCCCCCCCCCCTAAATACAGAACCCCTGACCCTGGGGCCATGAAATTCACAATTTTTGAAGAGACACACTTGCTCATCATAACTATGCATTTAGTTTGTTTCCTGAATACCCAGGAGCAGAGGAGATTTTTTCAGGAATAATGCATTTTCACTATATAGTCAACAGAGCCCCACCCTAGCACCAGAACCCCTGACCCTGGGGCCATGAATTTCATAATTTAAGTAGAGGGCTCAATGCTTATTACAATCATGCCAACAGTTCGACTGCTTGATGTCCAGGAGTAAAGAAGAAGATTTTTAAAGATTGCATTAATTTTGATGGTTTTGGCCCCACCCCTCAGGCCCCAGGGGGCAGGGGCCACGAATTTCACAATTTTTGTTTCCCTTAACCCATAGATGCTATACGCTAAAATTGGTTGAAATTATTTCACTTGTTCCATAGAAGAAGCTGAAAATGTTCAAAAGTTTATGAACGACGCACGACGACGGACGAAGAGATAGCAATAGGTCACCTGAGTGACTCAGGTGACCTAAAAAGTTATACAAAACTGAATAAATAGGATTTAAGGGCCCTCTGGTTTGATATACTTTTAATTTTCAATTTTATTTATTGGTTCAGCAAATGTGTTGGCAGCACAGTGTGTTGTCAAATAATTATTTTAATACATACATTAGTGTATATATTAGTGAAATCAAATTAGATCATTACATGTTTACAACTTTAATGTGTCCAATTGTAATCTTTTGGCAACAGTATTTGTATGAATATTGAAAATATGCATCATAATGCACATTATTTTTAGAACACAAATCAAAACATTCATATAAAAATTCACGTAACATTCTAGCATGAAATACATTGACAATATGACAGAATACTTTATAATGATTTTCCATAATCCTTTTGTCATGTCCAAAGGATACAAATTCAGTGGAGGTAGAGAGGCTGTGCTTAATTCCTATACATGTATCATATGTTGCCATTTCACCTATGGGATTAAATAAGGCGTAACAAAAAAATATGTTTGTTTACGGTTACCCGACCGACCCTATATTTAATCGCCGACCCAAATTTTTTTTCGTCGTAAAAATTATCATATTTTTTTCCCCAGGCCGTTTTTACATGGCGATACCGCCATGCATTCAAGATCTCCCGCCATGCATCAAACATTGCCGCTATGCTTCCCGCTATGCATGAATTATTAATGGTATACCTTTTTTAAGAAGATGATTTACTTTGAATGTTATCAGTTATTAATCTATTGATAAAACAAATTCACATGTATCACTAGAATCCTACAAACATGTTGCGTACCTTTGGTGAACTCGTTGCAAATCATGGTACAGGGTATGATGCAATAGCTGTCAATTTATGTTTATTGCAATTTACTGGTATGTTATTAAACATTAAGTTTTTATTTGATTAAAATATATATAACCAAGATAGTATAAATACACTTGTTATTGCACATTTGGGTTTTCCCAACATTTCCTGGTCATTCTATAAATAGCATTTATGTTCCGACATCAAAAAGGATTCACTAGTTAAACACATAATTCTTAAATCATATTTAGCATAAAAATATGCTTAAAATAAACATGTCCTATAAACATTATCATTGTTTCTTTACTCTATGAACTATGGGCTAGTACTTCGGTCAAGTGCACGTGCTTTAATACACAATGGCCTACATTCAACAACTTACGTGGAAAAAAAAATCAAACACCAATGTAAACATGTTGTCATCGGTGCTACGTAGTGTGCACCCTTTTTTGTTTAAAGATGACTGTAAAAGTAGGGACAGCCCAAAAATGAAGTAAATTTAAAAAAGGGGGGTCACTATAGGGCCTATTCAGTTTGTAGAGAACAAGAATAAAACAGCACATAAAAAGAAGTGGCTAATTAGATGACAATAAAAATACCCCACCCCCCAAAAAATGATGATTAGATCTATTTTTATAAAAAAAAGAAATCAATTGTTTATTTTTTTAAAAGTTAAATTGACAATTTATTTAAAATGTATTTATCATGTAAATTTTTAAAAAAAAAAAATATGTAAATGAATACTGGAAATGCATTTGTAATTTTCACTTATATATAGATTCAGATACATGTACAAGTAACTCAACCGAGACAAGCTGCACACCGTCAATTCAGCAAAATTCCCCCATGCATTAAATTTTGTCTGGGGAAAACACTAATTTTTTTAGTCAGTGCAACATGGAATTAAAGAAGAAATACAAAACAGTTTTACCATTGTGTGGTAGCTGTAAGGTAGTTGGCAAGAAAGATATTGTCTATCGCCCATAGGGCAAGCCCAAACAAAAGTAAAGCATCACACAATAGTAAAACTGTTTTGTATTTCAACCAATTCATGTGAATTTGCAAATAAAAAAATTCAATAAAATAAAAAAAAAATCCTACCTACCGACCCTATTTTTTTTCAGCATGTAACAGTAAACAAACATATTTTTTGTGTGGCCTAAAGGAAAATTTGGAAGTTGTAATAGATCCATAATTTAAATTAAAGTTTGAAAAATCAAGAGATATTTTCCAACTTGGAATTTTCTTTGTACATGTGTATTTACGAGAAACTTATTTCATGTAAGCTTCCTGACATATTGTAGATTCGAGTTTGTTCAAATCATGAAGCTGTAACTCTGTTCGAATCAGGTGGCATAGGAAAAACTGTTTGAAAATCTTCCGTCTTCTCAAGAACCACTAAGCTAGAAAAGATCAAACTTATATATGAAAGTTTCCTGATATAATCAATGTAGATTCAAGATTGTTTGTCATGGTCACAGGGCGTGCAGAGATCCAACTCAAAAAGATAACTGACTGAAATTTTTTGACAAGAAAAAAAAAAAAAAAGAAGAAACCTCTCTTGGCAAAACTTTAAAAACTTGTAGGGTGGGGTAGGGGGGTAGGACAAGTCACTTTCCTAAGTCAATTTTCTTCAGACACATGACTCCCCTTACCATTTTAAAAGGGGTATGTTTCCTGGGGAGGGGGGTATTTTTCCCATTACATTGCATAGAAATTTTAAAACTGACCCCACCCCCCCTTCACATTCACACATACAGGAGGTAGGGTTTACTTCTGCTTGGAAAAATGTCTTTAAAACAGGGTGAATCAGGTGAGCATTGTAGCTCATGGGTCTCGTAATTTTCACAATAGCAAAAGAAAGATAACTCTAAAATGTTGGTAAAACGTATAATATGTTACCCCCCCCCCCCCCCCCCCGAAACAAAAAAATCCTTTCTACGTGCACTTGGCAAATTCATACTGGTCAATAATTGCACGGGAAGGGGGGGGGGTATTTTAAGGTATTCAATGTATAACGACCTAATTTTGTACCTAATAAATGAATGATCCAATATTTTTAATCATGGTAGCATTTTGAAATTGTTATCAAATAAAAATACTCCACAAATGGAATTTACAATTTTTTTTTATTATTGTCTAATTAATTGCACCTTGAATTTTACATTGAAGTCTATGGTAAGCGCTCGTGTTTGTAAGAAGTAATTTGAACTTTGAACATACAAATTTCATGGTGAAAATATGCATAAATTCGATCTCTCTTTATTAAACTATGAAAGAAATGAATCATTTACCACAGATATTTTGACAATACCTTCATTATATATTGACGCCACTAGGATTAACAGTCAATTTTTAATGAATTTTAGGCCTACTTCGCATTAAAAAAATATATTTAGTAGGAAAATTGTCCAAGTTTATTTTAATTCATGTATTATTTTTATTAATAACTACTACTACTACTACTACTAATGAATGTGGAAAACCTTTCTTATTAGGTAGAAATCCTGGACAGGCGTCTAAACCAAAATTGTCGGGCTCGAAATACAGATTGTCAGGAGAAAACGTTTTCGAAGTCCAGCCACATGGCTGCAATAAACGATGGTAATGCAGAACTTCCATCCTGTACCTCCAGGTGGACGGAAGACAATTTAAAGCAGCTGCAGATATCACCCTTGAAATCCAGGGTATACACGGCGAAGGAGATTATATCGCTTTCTCTGAACGAAGAAGCAGATAAGAGGGTTTATAAAATCGATGACCACTTCTACCGTTATATGCCATATGGTTTTGTTGCACTAGACTTTGATGACTTTTATTCTGTTAAATATGAAACTGTTTACTCGCTTCTTTACGATGCAAATGGACACCAAATGCCGAGTTTTAAATTGGAATCGCTTCCAGAGTATACAGACCAACATTGGTGTAATATGTTAGTATAAAATTTTAAACTTGTACCATTTTACTCTCTGTATAAAGCTGTTGTTATGTTTAAACCTCTTAAACAGTTTTTGGAAGTTTAGGAGCTCATCCTGTTGTTTTTCTTGGACATATTGATCAGTGTAGATATAAAGGTACATATAATAGTTTAAGGGAGCCTATTAAGCAGGTCCAGCACAATCTCTTGATTAAGCTATATAGCTTTATCTAGCTATATAGCTTGATAAAGCTATTGAGAATAGCTTTATTAAGCTATTTGGAATGTGAAATATTAAAATAAAATTATTAAAAATAAACACGAGAGAGTCGCATTATGAGTACTTATCAACAAGTTCATCCGTGCATAACAATTACTCACACACTAAAATTAAGGTATAAAAGCGATGCGTGTGGGGCGCTCATCTTATTGAAATTTTCAAGTGTATTGAACGAAGTATAAAAAAAATAAAGAAGTGTAAAAAAAGAAATTAATCGCATAATGGTAAGTATATATTTCTTTTCTCTATCACGTAACATATTATTAATCACCGAGAGTTAGAAGGTTCATCATTGCCTTCATCAAAATTTTGGACATTTAACAATGCATATTTTGTGCAAAAGCTTACGAAACTGTGTACAAAAGTACCAAATTATAGCTTTAAAATCCATGACAACACTCACAATTTGAAGTACATGTGACTTGGAAGCCCTAGTCGCCATACACAGGAAATGCACGATCAATACTAAAGCGTTGGTACTGAATCAGGCAGATCTTCATCTTCCGGGTCAGATTCTATGGAAGCACCGTAGTATTAAAATTAATGTCTTTGTAACCCATTATTTTTTTCAATTACTTTGTCTATTAAAGAAGACAAGGGATTGAATATTTATTATATTGAAGTAAGAAAATAAAATAATTATTCATATTCCAGGTGTTTCTGAAAAAAAAAAATGATAATTTTACAATACCCCCCCCTTTTTCGTATTTTTAATTTTATTTTATTAAAAATAAATTAAAAAATATAATATATGCGGTTATAATATCATGCAGAATAGTAAAGTAAATCCCGGGAAAAATAACAAAGGTCAAAGGAAGAGGGGCTTGTCAAGATCTGGACCTACGCCCAGTACATACATAGAGGATGCAAAAAAGCGACACGACTCCGTGTACAAGAGAAAAACCACAATCTTGAAAAAGGTATGAATATATAACGTACCTTCGTCCTTCATCACATCTTGCGAACTTTCTACAACTTCTAATAATTCTTTGTAGAAATTAATATACATTTTTTTGCCACCATTCTTTATGTCTCTTTTCCATTGTACTTTTCTGTCTTCTCCTTTTTTAACCAAAAAAAAAAAAAAAAAATGCAGCAAAACATGCCGATACGTATGATTATTTTAAAGATGTTGAAAATTTTATATATGCATACCAGCTTCAAAATCCAAATCAAGTAGCTTCTCAATCTGTTCCTCAATCTTGGCTGCTATTTCTGGTTTTGTTCTACTTTCGATAGAATGAAAGTGTGTGCGTTCCAAACTTGTAAAAAAAATTGGTTCTAGAGAAAGTGAGAGTTTGACTGAATTATTTTTAGAAACTTCTTGAATATAATGTTGTCTATTGTTTTTACATTTCTGGGAAAAATTTACGAGTTCTTTATCTAGTGATTTGTTGCATAGAGAAGTATGATCGGTGGAGGAGAAGGGATTGGAGAGGTATTCTGCTGCTCTTAGTTCTGAACGCCACTGAAATATTTCATTTTCAAGATTGGTGTGGAAAATTGTATCATCACTGGAGTCCCTTATGTTCAATTGGGATTTCATGTTCTTTTTTATCTACAACACAATATATATATATATATATATATATATATATATATATATATATATATATATATATATATATATATATATATATATATATATATATATATATATATATATATATATAATTATTCAACAGGCTAAAGAACTCCATCTTACAAGTAAAAGTGAAATATTAATTATTGTGAAATCAGCATCTGGAAAAATGTCCACGTATGCCACACCTTATTTTGAAGATGTTAGTATATTAATCTCATTCAATAAGTTATTTATTTATTTAAAGAAGTGGTTGGATTGAAATTTTTTTATTACTTTTTTTTAATTTTAAAACACGCATTGATTATACATTTCAGCACATGCAGCGAATCATAAAATCTCCCCCCTCTAACGTTCCTAGCGCACCGCCCTCTGTTATAACAACTTCGATATCCTCTTCCTCTTCTATTACTACGAATTGCTCATCTTCTACCTCTGCTGAACTTATCTCAACCCCACACTGTTCTACCTCGTCAATACCTCCTATACTATCTTTAAATGCACTCTCCCCACAACCTTCTCTTGCCTCTCCCTCTCCTTCGTTTCCATCTCCTCAACCTACTTTTCTCCCCCCTATAACTAACTCTAAATCAGGAGAAAAGGAAAAGAGATCAGATGGATATCAGACTTCAAAGAAGAGAAGGATAGTTGTATGCAAGACCAAATGCACTCAGACTGAAACAATAACGACAAAAGTTCCTGAAACTTGCAATGTCTGTTTGACAACACAGGAACGTGGACATTGGGTTGGGTGTGACCGTGCCCGTTGTGGGTATTGGGTCCATGATGAATGCATGGGCTTTTATTTTTCTTCTAATACCATTGTAAAGAAAACAAAGTTTAGGTGTCCCATCCACAGATAAACAACTATGTTATGTCTGTAATAAAATTATCTTCCTACTATGTTTGATATCATTTCTTTTTATTTTATTCATTTTTATTTCACAAAATGTTTGTAAAATACTTGCATCTTCTAATGTATCCAGATTTCTGCAACATTGCATCCAGTGTTTCTCTTTTGGCGCACCGCTGGGAAGCCAACTTTTAGCCTGTCTATTTTTGGCCTCCAATATAAAATCACAGCCCTCTCCTTTGCTGGTATTTCCAGATTCTAAATATTTATTTTATGTACAGTTAAACATCGTTCTTTGAAACCCAATGATACAGAGAAAAATTCTATATATCCTATGATTCAAGATAACAAACTTAAAGAGATCAAATGGTTGTTAATTTTAGGTAAGTTTTACGTATCCATGGTATCTGAGATAAAGAAATTAAAGAGATAATTCAGATAACCATTGTTAACTGTATACATATAACAATACTATTAATTAACATGCATGTTTATCATTAAATATGGAGTTTCAATCAATAATTTAATTTTTGTAAACCCTAGTTCAAACAATATGCTGTTTCAAACTGTCCATAATATTTTCTCCATCTTGACGTCATGTTATTTGCACAGAAAAATTATGCATTGTGACGTCACGTTTTTTATCCAATCAAGTCATGTGTACGAAAATTTACAACCTCCTTCTAACTAATGAAATCTCCTGTTACAAGGTAGATAGAGTTATTGTTTATATTAAGTGCGTCATTTGGCATTTTTGTGCAGTTGAGTTAAGACCATGCAATTCTTACGAGTGAAGGACTCGTGCTCCTGGATGAATTTAAGGACTTCAGTTGGTGCACATACTCTCATAATGATGTCTAACAATTCAATCTGTTGATAGTTGGTTTTGGACACACCAAAGTAAAGGGGAGAAAACTTCAGTCTGGAGGCCATAATGACGTTACTGTTATTACGTCGTATCCCTGCTCTAAACAAGTACACTGCTAGTGCATACGTAAATATGGACTCCAGCAAGAACCTGCATTACAAGTACGTAAACTATGCATTATTATGAAATCCAATATTATATTTTTTTATGAAATCCAATATTTTCCTGTATATATATATATATATATATATACAGGATTTGTTAAATTGTAATTTATCAAATAATTTTTTTTACATGTAGTTGGGATCCTTTACTTCCTTACACCAGGCGAAAAACCCTTTCCCAGAAGGTTCCATTTCCCTTTCGGAGCAATGATACACGTAGGGGTACAACAATTCATCTCCTATGAATAAGAAATGTCTAAATGTATAGATGTATTTGAGAAAAAATAAAAAATTATTTACATTTATGTTTACAGACCTGTTCCAAAAAGAAGAATTTCAATGAACTGCATGGCTTTGTGGTGATCATTGGCATCTAAGCAGGATTGGAGTGCCTTTGGCGATCTGTAGCCTAATAGTTTGGCCAAATCTACCCCTATGACTTGCCATAAAAGCTTTATAACAGCTGTAATATATATATATATATATATATATATATATATATATATATATATATATATATATATATATATATATATAAATCGTTCAATTTTATTGCACCAACAATAAAGTACCTTTGGACATATTAATTTCAACATGTCCCAGTCCAGGTTGGAGGAGTATATCTTGAAGATGGGGGTTGTCTTTTATGATGCGATGAGACAGAAGGAAAGGAAGCCCATCACAACCTACTATACTCCATTTTCTATGATCTGGAATTCCTGCAGTACACTTCAAATTTTCTAAAACAACTTGAACAGATTTAAATGAACAAGGATTAACTGATATTGGATTTCCCATTTGAATTGTAGGAGAAGTAGTATGGGAATTTGATATAAAGGAATAAACATCAACCTGGGATCTGGAATTATCAGAAAATTTCTTCTTCTTGTTTTTTAAAAGATCGGAAACGATGTCCTCTGTAGAAGTTAGCCCTGGATGTTGCTGTTGTAATAGAACATTTATCCTGTTTTCGATGAAATGTTCTCGAAGTGATCTAAATAAATTTTCATAGAAATTGATGAATTCTACAATAGCACTGTATTTATCAGAAATTTGAATGTTATAAAACCAGTGTCTGGGAGAGAAATTATTGACAAGTTGTAAATCTGTCGTGGGATTAGGAAAGAAGTGGACAACAGTAGTGACATAGCTCAAAATAGCTTTGGCATCATAGCGCACCCTCCAGTTCCTCGCTAAAACTTGGTTGTTGTCGAAATATGTTATCACGTCATGCTGAAATGGAATGGTTATTGGAGTGGTTGCATGTTCTTCTATCCATTTCAGAACAGACGTGTAACTTCCGGCGGGATGAGCACTGGAGTACATATTACATACTGTTTTGCTATTTGACATGTAATATGTTAAGAGATTCAAACTAAATGAAAATGGCATGATTATGTTCGAAGAAACAAGGCAGTACAAATGTTCAATAGCAAACACAATCTTAGTTTTTTCTGTAGATGATAAATCACACATCTTTTTCCCACACAAAGACAATAAAAATGAAGATACGACATTGTTTCTTTCAGAAATCCACGTATCAATAGCGGCAGATGTTAAAAAATCAACATTTTTGTATTGGCTGAATATATTTTCATTAAAATCGTCTTTCATCTCTCTGCTTTCTCTAGTGCCAATGGCTTCCACAATTTTACTCACATTCTCATCAGATATGTTGTTTGTTTTAATTAAATTAACTATTTGCTCAACAAGTTCGTTTTCAATGTCTTTTCCATTGGAAATTAAGTTTTTCTCGCTGTATGCAGCACATGCTGTACATAAGTATACTGACCTTTTGCACAGATGACCATTTTCAATGAGACCTTCAACAACAGAAGTTTTGAATTTCTTGCTGGAAAGTCTGTATATTTTAAAAGTCTCATCTTTTGAAAAGTTAGTATGTTGTTTACAGCTACAAGCTGGCATTGTTATCCTGAAAATAATTAAATGTTGTCTACTAACACCCCACCCCCCACCCCCCTCAAATAAAATAATCATATAATATAAATTATGCATTTTCTGTCTTAAATATGCACTAAAATAATATATTATACGATTAATTTATTCCCTTTCTTAAATTGTAATCAAAATCTTCCCTTATTGATCACCGTTATAACTTTCATATCAACAATTCATTTATGTATTATTAATAAAAATGCGTTTCCATACTTTACAAGAAGATGACGGATAAATTACCGTTATTCGTGTTTCTTCTGCAACTACGTTGAAGACAGCATATCCGGTGTAGAGCGCCAGGAGAGAATTTAACTAACGGAGCTCCAGTGGGTTAGTTTTCATGATTTTTTTCACATAAACACTTAAATCATCGATTTCCCAACGTTTCATTGTCAACAACAAACTTTTCAATAAGGTGAGCGCCCCACACGCATCGCTTTTATACCTTAATTTTAGTGTGTGAGTAATTGTTATGCACGGATGAACTTGTTGATAAGTACTCATAATGCGACTCTCTCGTGTTTATTTTTAATAATTTTATTTTAATATTTCACATTCCAAATAGCTTAATAAAGCTATTCTCAATAGCTTTATCAAGCTATATAGCTAGATAAAGCTATATAGCTTAATCAAGAGATTGTGCTGGACCTGTTAAGGTCTATATGGCTATATCGTGTTGTAGAGTAGGATTTCCCCAGAGCCAGCTTTCCCCTTTGAATCTGTATTATAGAGTAGGAGTTCCCCTAGTTAAAATAATCCAACTGCATCTCGGGAAAAGCTCTCACCACAGTTAGAATATGTCCCATGTAGTTACAATGTAGCAAATCAATGAACGCATCCAGTCTGAAATGATTTTAAAGCATACAATTCAGGAGATCGCTTATTTGTCTTCTTTTTTTTTTTTACCCCAGTGAAGCAGCTGCAATGAACACTTTAATACACATGTTTACAAGTAATACTGTGAAGAGGAAAATAGTAAAAAATTCATTAAAAAAAACCCAGGAATTTCTCTCTCTCTCTCTCTGAAACTTCAATCAAACATCCACTTTCTGTTTAAAAAAAGAACTTTCCTCACTTTTGGCTCACTGATATCCAGTGCACTAGAAGTTTTAACCAATTTCACGTTAGACATAATATGACTGAAGAACCACTTAAGGTCATGGGATACTCAAAAATCCAGAGACAATGGGGTTTTTATCTTATATATTCTTTTTTACCTTACCTTAATTCTCTCCATGCCAGATGGCACACAAGGACTGAACATCCCTCTTCCACTGGGACCGAGGCTGCACAGCGTGCCGTGTTCCATGACTTCCTGCCCGCATCATTTCACTCCACCTCCACCATCCGCCGCCATGTTGTCTCTTGGCGGCCCCGCTTCCTTCTCCCCTCAGGCGTCCACCCGAGGCCCACAACACAGTCATCTGTTGGGTCCTTCCTCAGCACATGGCCGATCAAATTCCATCTCCTCCTCCTCACCTCACCACTGATGTTTTCTGCTCCTGCCATCTCCAGAACTGTCTTGTTTGGGATATGCTGCTGCCATCTGACCTTGAGAATCCTTCTGAGGCACTTGGTCTGAAAGATGTCAATCCTCTTTTCCTCTGTCTTGGTAAGCTTCCAAGTCTCACATCCATATAACAATAAGGAGAGGACCAGGCTCTTGAAGAGGGAGACTTTGATCTTTCTACTGATGTCTGTGGCCTTCCAGATGTTGGCTAGCCTCCTGCAGGATGCGCCAGCTAACGCTACCCTCTTCCTGATGTCAGCAGTACCTCCGCCGTCCTTGGTGACATTGGCTCCAAGGTAAGTGAAGCCGTCCACCTCTTCAGCTTCACTGTTTCCAACTATCAGGCTGGATTCACTCTTGCTGTTTATCTTTATCACTTTGCACTTCTTGGCATTCAGCTTCATCCCAACTTTTGCTGAGTTGTCCTCCAGTCTAGTCGTCTTGGACTAAAGATGGTTCATTGATGACATAAGGGCAAAGTCATCCGCAAAGTCGAGGTCTTCAAGCATAGTGTTGAAGTCCCATCCAATTCCCATTCTCTGTTATGGAACGCCATAGCTGCCTGAAGGTCATTTTCATTTTATATGAAGTGGTATAACCTTTATGTGAAGTGGTTAAGTCATTATATATAGTGGTAAAATCATTATATTCAATGAAAACTTTATTATATGCAATGGTTTTTCTTTATATACAGTGATAAAATCATTATATACAGTGATAAAATCATTATATTCATTGATAACTTTATTATATGCAGTGGTTTTATCATTATATTCAGTGGCAATGTCATTATATGTAGTGGTTAAATAATGTAATGAAGTGATAATATCGATATATTATGTTGTAAAATCATTATATGCAGTGGTTTGTCCATTATATACATTACTGAAATCTTTCTGTGATGTGATGAATTCAATATATACAGTACAAACATAATTTGTGTGATAAAGCAATCATTACATTGTATGAAACCCACTGCATGTGGAGTGCCAAGTTAATTTCATTCAGTGCGACACCTTTACATGAAGTGAAAAATCTATTATGTGCAGTACTAACATCATTATATTATATAGTAAAATTATTATATATATTCCTAAAATCATACTTTGCAGTGGTAACATCTTTATATGAGGTGGTTAATTAATTATATGATGTTGTTAATTTGTTATATGATGTGGTCAAATCTTTATATGCATTAGTCGTTTCATGTTATGCAGTGGTAACTTCTTTATCATCATCTAAACTGGTCCTCTTGCAAAAACATTTTTAAAAAATGCGCGGAGTTCCAGTTTAAAGAGTGTTTGAAAATAGGAAACCCAGGCCGTGGCAAATTAAAAGCCGGGACTATTCGAGATTTTTCAAATTTCTGATTTAAAATTTTCAGACTCTTTTTTTAGGCTAATGTGTTTTCGCTGTAAAAATTGTATTTAAATACTTGGTATTTTAGATTTTCTTGACGATTTTTGGTTTCAAGTAAAATTGGTAGGCAGTTTCAATTTTCTGATTTAATATTTTATCTATTGTGCTATAAGTACTTAGTATTTTAGATTTTTTTTTTTTTTGGCGATTGTTGATTTCCATGTTGGTAAAATGGGTAGACTGGGTTGGCGATATTTTATGTGTGTGTGTGTTTTTTGACATATTTGATAAAAATCTAATAAACTTAAAAATTATTCCGATGTTAAACACTGTATTTTAACTAAAAAAACTATTTATTTTTGATAGTTATTTCTTTATTAAATATATAATATTAAAAAAAGGATTATTAAACCAGATCCGATCATCCGGGAAGAACCTGGTGCAAAACACCATAAATCATTTCTAATTTCATAATATGCAAATGTGCACTGGTACATGTATCTATATGCTAGTAGATGGAAGGAAACTGGATTACGTTAAATATGTAATTTGTTTAATACTTCTTTCGGGGGGGGGGTGTTAAATTACTAATATCAACTATTTATAAGACTGTTTCTAAGACTTCAGAAAACCTTAAATCACATTGAAATGCTTAAAATAAAAATTTCTGCATGAAAACATTTCATTTTCAAGTTTCATCTTTGCCGTCGCCAACGTGGCACGGTGATCAGAGTGTCTGCTCTAAGAGACGCGGAATAAGGAGTCAATCCTTACATCACGGGTTCGATTCCGACAGTGGGACGTTGAGACCGGTCCTTCGTAAGAGACCGCATAAAGCCATAAACCGAGGTCCCGTGCCACAGTAGGTGTTGGAACGAAAAAAATCCCTCACTGCTCAATGGCCGTAAGTGCCAAGTATAGGACAAAATTTGCAGCTCTCCACTGGCAAATTGTGGCGTCTCCATATGAGTGAAAAATTCTCGAGAGGGACGTTAAACAGCAAACAAACAACCAAATTAAAATCATTTTAGCCTTTTTGAATAAAATGATAAAATTAAGAGTTATCCTCCAAAGCTGAGGATCGGATATCCTTAAACCAAGCAACTTACGTGTGATTAAAGTTTGACACAAGGCTTTGCATTAATAGTCCTATAATTACATGTATATGTGATAATACTTTAATTAATTTATATTTTATCAAATGACATGAAGATAATGAACAAGTATTTCGGATTTTTTATGTTTGACTTCCGGGAGATCAAATCCGATTTTAATGAACCATTGGCGTCGGAAAGAAATTGATAGTGGGGTGGCTAATTGAAATAGAAAAAAAAATCAAACCTGAAAAAAAAAAACTTGACAAGCAAAAAAAAAAAAAAAAGGAAAATTGTTCTTTCTCCAAACCCGAAAATCCTATTTCGGGGGTGTGGGTGGGGGGTTGGGGGGGGGGTCGAACATCTTTCAGTACCAAATTCGTTTAAACACTACCAATTACCCTTCTTTCACTACAATGAAAGTGGGGAGGGGGGGGGGGGCTAGACCTACGCCCGATTTTCAATGCCTATATTATGTCTACCTTTGTAAAAAAAAAAAAAGGGGTAATAGCCCCCCCCCCGGTTCCGACGCCTATGTGAACCGGTTTTTCTTAAACGTGTCATTTCACTCAAAAAATGCCTTTCAAAGAATGAATAATTTTTAACATCAGAATAATTTAAAAGTTTATTAGCTTTCTGTCAAATATGGCAAAAAAAAAAAAAAATAAAAAAATAAAAATAAAAATAAAAAAAACAAACAAACAAACAAACAAAAAACCAACAAACAAACAAAACACGTAAAATGTCTACTTGATTGCCTAACCGATTTACAAACCTCGCGGGCGGATTCAGAGAGGGCCTATGGGACCCCCCCCCCCCTTGTGTCCAAAATATACAAAAGATTTAATAAATCAGTTGTTTTTTTGTTTGGCTGTGGGCTACCTACCCCGACCAAAAACTTGTCGTGCCCCCCTTTTCAAGATTCCTGGATCCACCACTGAACTTGGAAATCAACAATCGCCAAGAAAATCTAAATTACTAAGTATTTTAAAATTAACTGCAATTTTTACAGCGAATACACATTAACCTATAAAAATGAGTTATTAAAATTTCAGCACAGTTGATAAAATCAGGAAGCTGTATAATAGAATCAGAAATTAGAAAAATCTCGAATTAACCCCGGCTTTTAATTTGCCACGGCCTGGGTTTCCTATTTTTAAACACTCTTTAAACTGGAACTCCGCGCATTTTTTTTTAAATAAAAGGACCAGTTTAGATGATGATAAAGAAGTTACCACTGCATAACATGAAACGACTAATGCATATAAAGATTTGACCACATCATATAACAAATTAACAACATCATATAATTAATTAACCACCTCATATAAAGATGTTACCACTGCAAAGCATGATTTAAGGAATATATATAATAATTTTACTATATAATATAATGATGTTAGTACTGCACATAATAGATTTTTCACTTCATGTAAAGGTGTCGCACTGAATGAAATTAACTTGGCACTCCACATGCAGCGGGCTTCATACAATGTAATGATTGCTTTATCACACAAATTATGTTTGTACTGTATATATTGAATTCATCACATCACAGAAAGATTTCAGTAATGTATATAATGGAAAAACCACTGCATATAATGATTTTACAACATAATATATCGATATTATCACTTCATTACATTATTTAACCACTACATATAATGACATTGCCACTGAATATAATGATAAAACCACTGCATATAATAAAGTTTTCAATGAATATAATGATTTTATCACTGTATATAATGATAAAACGACTGCATATAATAAAGTTTTCATTGAATATAATGATTTTACCACTATATATAATGACTTAACCACTTCACATAAAGGTTATCCCACCTCATATAATATGAAAATGACCTTCAGGCAGCTATGGCGTTCCATACTCTGTTCTCTGACTGTTGCATCACCCAGTCTATCACCAGGAGGAACAAGAAAGCTGACATACAGCATCCTTGTTTGATGCCGCTCATCACAGGGAAAGGGGCTGTGGTCTCATTGTCATCAATTACAGAACATATTCTTTTTTAGATTCATGAAATTTAATCTATGACATGGTAAAATAAGAGTAAAGTTTTATTCATTTCAGGAAATTTTGTTTTTTCATGTTCTTGTATTGAATTTCAATATAAATATAAAAGTATTTAAATTTTAGGGGAATGCAAAAAATAAGGCTGGATTGATATGCAAATTTTGTGTGTTTTAGCATTTAATAATAAAGTATGCACATATTGTTTTACAAAATTCTATAACATAATTTTTTGAATTGTCCTAAAGAATATACATGCAATTTCTATAGAAGCAGGTTTGGTGAGAAGACTTTAAAAAAAGTTGACCCCAACCCAGTAATATTGGTACATGTATAAGAATCAAACAAAAATATAATCCAGATAACTATTCTGAACACAAAAATTAATGTTCTATTTCCAAAATTAATATATACAGCAAGGCATCTGCTGATTTACCAGATAAATTAAGAATTTCAGCAATCCTGGACATAATTTTCTCTACATTATGTCTATCTGCCATAGATTCTGTCTGTCTGTCTGTCTCTCTCTTTGTGTCAATCTCTCTTCAAGACCCAGTAAATATACTTAAAAACAATATACATATATTATTTGCAACAAACTGTGCAAATGATCAATATGTACAAAATGACAATATGTACCTTTACAGCTCTTCAATCAGGTCAAAGAAGGGGGAAAACCTCCCAGATTTTACAAGCCTTAGCATAAGTTTGTCCCCTAGACCCCAGAGGTGCAATATTGGAATTTAAAGCGAAGAGCAAAACACTTTTAAAGTTTTGCCCCCCCCCCCCCCCAACTCATATTTTTATAAATTGACCCAATTTTAGTTCCATGGCAGTGGCAGCCATTTTGGATATTCAAACCCAAGAAACTTGGGGAGACACTTATACATCAATATTAATATGAAATGCAATTGGAGAAAAAAAATCACTGAAAAATAAAATTTCTCCTTTGTTGTTTAAATGACTACAGTTAAAAAATTGCTGAATCTAGTTTAACCACATAATAAGAATAAGACTTTAATGCTTCAAAAGAATTAGTTGCACAGATACTGAGAAATATGAGATTTATATTTTCATGTTTCAATGGTTGCTATTTTTTTTTAAAAAAAGTTAAATGTTGAATGCACAAGCAAGGTTTTGATTATAATTTCTTTGAAGGTTTGTCAAGATTGTATACTGCTAGAGCACCTGTGGAAAATTTACAGAAGAAATTGTGATAACATGTGCCCTCTCTCCCTGTCAAATATAAGTATAGGCATATTCTATTTAGGGAAAATTGGCTTTAGAGGAAATTGCACTCTATAACTATTACACAGATTAATATTTTTCCCAGAACATTGAATCTGGTGTGAGATTTCCATAGGGGAAATCCCACAATAGAGTCATTTTTCCATTGGGGAAATCCCAGTCTGATTAAAACCAGCTCCCTTCTCCTTTCACGAGTGAAAGGAGAAGGGGGCTGGTTTTAATCAGACTGGGGAAATCCTACTCTAGAGCCTATTTCTTGTGGGTGTGTGTCCTACTATAGAGCCCATTTCTGGGGGGGGGGGGTGTTCCTATTCTAGAGCCTATTTCTTGGGAGAGAGGGGGATCATACTACAGAACCTATTTCTTGCCGGGGGGGGGGGGGGGATCATACTCTAAACCTTTTTGCCAGGGGGATCTTACTCTAGAACAAGTTTTCCGGAGAAGGATTTTAGAAAGGAAAGCCTACTCTACAAGACTGGTACAAAAATTTGAAAATCTGGAAAAATGTCATAGGAAATTATTATACTTAATGTCTTTTGATGCTTCAATGTTTAAATTTCTTTATGCCAAAGTTTTTAGCTCACCTGAGCTGAAAGCTCAAGTGAGCTTTTTTGATCACTTTTGTCTGTAGTCCATCTGTCCGTCCGTCTGTCTGTAAACTTTTCACATTTTCGACTTCTTCTCCAGAACCACTGGGCCAATTTCAACCAAACTTGCCACAAAGCATCCTTGGGTGAAGGGGGTTCAAATTTGTTCAAATGAAGGACCAAACCCTCTTTAAAGGGGAGATAATTAAGAATTGTTGAAAATTTGGTGTCATCTTTTCAAAATCTTCTCAAGAACCAATGGGAAAGAAAAGTTGAAACTTTTGTGAAACCTGCATTACATAGTGTAGATTCAAGTTTGTTCAAATCATGAGCCCCGGGGGTAGGGTGGGACCACAATGGGGGATCAAAGTTAAACATAGAAATATATAGGAAAATTCTTTAAAAATCTTCTTCTCAAAAACAAAAAAGCCACAATTAGTCTCATTGATATAGAATCATCCTCAGGTAGTGTAGATTCAAGTTTGTTCAAATCATGATCCCCAGGGGTAGGGTGGGGCCACAATGGGGGATCAAAGTTTAACATAGGAATATATAGGAAAATTCTTTAAAAATCTTCTTCTCAACAACAAAAAAGCCACAATTAGTCACATTGATATATAATCATCCTCAGGTAGTGTAGATTCAAGTTTGTTCAAATCATGATCCCCAGGGGTAGGATGGGGCCACAATGGGGGATTAAAGTTTTACATGTAGAAAATAGAAAAAATCTTTAAAAATCATCTCAAGAACAACAAAGCCACAATAAGTCAAGTTGATATGGAATCATTCTTAGATAGTGTAGATTCAAGTTTGTTCAAATCATGACCCCAGGGATAGGGCAGGGCCACAATGGGGGATCAAAGTTTTACATAAGAATATATAGGAAAATTCTTTAAAAATCTTCTCAAGAACAACAAAGCCACGATAAGGCATATTGAATTGGAATCATTCTCAGGTAGTGTAGATTCAAGTTTGTTCATATCATGACTCCCTGGGGTAGGGTTGGTCCACAATGGGGGATCAAAGTTATACCTAGGAATATATAGAAAATCTTTGAATATCTTCTTCTCAAGAACAACAAAGCCACGATTAGTTATACTGATTTGGAATCATCCTCTGGTCAGGTAGTGTAGACTCAAGTTTGTTCAAATCATGACCCCCGGGGTAGGGTGGGGCCACAATGGGGGATCAAAGTCTAACTTAGGAATATATAGGAAAATTCTTTAAAAATCTTTTCAAGGAACATGAAAGCCATGATTAGTCATATTGATATGGAAGCATCCCCAAATATTGTAGATTCAAATGTGTTCAAGGCATCCTCCAGTAGTAGGGTGGGGCCACAATGAGGGATCAAAGTTTTACAAAGAACAAATATAGGAAATATCTTTAAAAATCTTCTTCTCAAGAACAACAAAGCCATGATTAGTCGAGTCATATTGATATGGAAGCATCCTCAAGTAGTGTAGATTTAAGTTTGTTTAAATCATGACCCATATTGACTCAGGTGAGCATTGTGGCCCATGGGCCTCTTGTTTTATTTTGTTTTTGTTTGGTGATGTAATTGCCCAGTAAATATAGCAAAATAGCACTGTTTGTTAAGTAAGTAAAAATACTTTTCATTTCATTTTTTTTAAGTATTTTTTATTATTAACAAAATGGCTTTCAGCATAGACCTGCTCAAGAAAATGTTTGGTACCCTTGAAAAGGTTTTAAAACAAATTATTAAAGCAAAAAATGGGGTTAGAGCAGGCCTGCACTTGGGATGAAAAGGACAAAGAACCAATCAACAGACAGAATGATTCTTTCAGTCACATCATAAGGGAAAATGCATGATACAAAAGACTATCAATACACTAAATTATATAGAAATACCAGCCTAATATTTAAGTACAGGTTCTGACTTGTAAAGTTAGTTCAAATATTACTGGGATTTGATTTTATTGACAAGTCAGTTACTTCAAGAAACTTACACAATTGTGGAACAAGTTGATGGTAGCATTAAAGTACAGCATCATTAAAGCATTGTGAATCCTACATCCCTAGGTTCAGAGTCTATGGAGAGCAGTTCTGTAAACACCTGATTTATATGGCCTGGCAGCGAGAACGCGGAGTGTCCATCTCAGCTTGTATGTTCCAGCAACTCTTCCAGCACTTCACCGCTATGTTTGGACTTCACTCCATGTAAGATTTAAACTCAGTTGGAAAAAACTCCATGAAATAAATTTTCGTCTATGTATTTGAGATGTAAAATTTGAGTTTTGTCTGTGTATTTGAGATGTGACTTTGTAAAATTTGAGTTTTGTCTGTGTATTTGAGATGTAAAATTTGAGTTTTGTCTGTGTATTGAGATGTGAGTTTGTAAAATTAGAGTTTTGTCTGTGTATTTGAGATGTGAGTTTGTAAAATTTGAGTTTTGTCTGTGTATTTGAGATGTAACTTTGTAAAATTTGAGTTTTGTCTATGTATTTGAGATGTGAGTTTGTAAAATTTGAGTTTTGTCTGTGTATTTGAGATGTGAGTTTGTAAAATTTGAGTTTTATCTGTGTATTTGAGATGTGACTTTGTAAAATTTGAGTTGTCTGTGTATTTGAGATGTGACTTTGTAAAATTTGAGTTTTGTCTGTGTATCTGAGATGTGAGTTTGTAAAATTTGAGTTTTGTCTATGTATTTGAGATGTAAGATTTGAGTTTTGTCTGTGTATTTGAGATGGGTTTATTAATTACGTGTTTTACCTTTCATTGACAGTGGTTTACCAAGTCTGCATCAGGAGCAAGTCCGTATCAAAAATACTGACGTCCGATCAACTCCCAACCTTTCCTTCTGTAACCCTCCAAGTTATGAAAAAGATTCTTTAAAAACATATGCAATCTGCACGGTAATTATCATTTTCTATTCCAAAAGAATTAAACACTGTGCCAGTCTGTGGTGTAATGTTACAAATCTACCAATATATATAAAAGTATACACAATAATCCCTGTGCTCCCTATTTTTGCTGAAGGTAAATGCATGTACCAACAGTAAATATCTTTTCTAATCCAGGCACCATTGGTTCCTTAGAAATTGCCAGATTGGACAACATTGTTAAGGCCTAAGAAAAAAATATGTTTGTTTTCTTTTACTATCACATGCTATTAATAAAAAAAAATAGGGTCGATTATAGTAGACTTTTTTTAAAAACATAATTGAAGGCATAACTTTGAAATAAATATAAGAAAGGCTGCTTTCTTCTTTTTTAACAATCTACTTGACAGCTCTAAAAATAGCTTCTAAAAAGACTGACCTTATGACCTATGAACAGTTACATTTGAAAGAAAACGTACAGACATACAATTTTGGATTGTACAGCTAAATAAAATATTTGAGCTGGTGCGTTAACTTAGGGTTGGTTGGAACCATAAACGAACATATTTTTTTCTTAGGCCTAATAATGGGAATAACATTTTTCATAAAAGGCAAAATTTGGAATAGACAATACCTGGATTATACAAGTTTCACTGTATAAATATATTTTAGGGGATACTGATTTGAATATTAATACCAGAAGTGTTATATATCCATCAATAAAAAGTCAACATTTGCAGAAGAACTCAAAGTTCTATGTTTTTGATACATTATTATTTATCAGATACTTTATTCAGACAGGGATGTTTAGTTTTCTTTATATTAGAGCTACAGAACATTCTGATTTTGCAAATGACGCATACTATTTTTTATATTGTTAAAGTAATGTCAATCTAGTATTAGTTTTTAGATAAACAACAAATTTTATTGTGGTTTTTAAGTTTATCAAAAATTTCAGACCATAGCAATCATAATTATTAGGGATGTCAAATCGGTCAATATTTGATAATCGGTTACTCGGACGATTTTCCGATCGAGTACCCGGGTACTCGGAAAAAGTGTATACATGTAAAAGTTTGAGACCTGTTTACCACATCGATGTTTTCTTTCGTTTATAACATGTTATAATGCATATACATAAACATCGAGCCCAACGAAAACGATTTTACTTGTACTTTATTTATTTATCAAACAAACACAAAAGACATGATCAATTAATACACCAATAATTACACATGCTTTACAGTTCTTATTTATGAAGACAATTTGGTCAACGGAAGAGAAGGACGCAACTTTGTGATGATTAGACTCTAGCGAGGGAGAATATCTTTGGGAACAGTGGGGAATGGACTATTTTGTGATCGCGAGTCGTATATTATTTACGTTTGCAAATTTATGTTTTCTTTGTGATAACTCTGAAAGTTATGTTAATTTCTCGATATTTACAACTCCACCCGTTATGCATAACTTATTCCACGTTTCCAACTGCCGTTGATGCCCTGGTATGCACAGCAAATTAAAAAGTGATTCCTTTAATACATGGATGTTTCCACCCTATACGCTAAATTTACTATGCACATGCAGGTGCCTTTTATCATTTTTTTTTAAATCTTCGGTCATTTATAAATAATTCTTCACTTTTGAACAGTCTGGTGAATTGGTAGCGGTATTTCTATGTATGTCTTATTTCGTTTCCGTATGCTAATTGAATAATCATAGAATAATTAATAGATCATAATTAAACGATGTTCATTGAAAACAAATAATGAAAGCCATCTCAAAATTAGGGTCACAAGAGGTGAGAACGGCTGTGTACAGTGTCCAGTGATTAATTACCGTTCACGGTAGCTCAGTCGGTAGAGCGCTCGCTCCGTGATCGGGAGGTCGTGAGTTCGAATCTCGGCCGCGACAGACCTAAGTCGATAAAAAATAGGTAGCAACTGTTCCTTCGCCATGCGCTCGGCACTTTGGAGTGAAAGTTGCGGGTCTTTCGGATGAGACCTTAAAAACCGAGGCCCCGTGTCACGGCAGGCGTTGGCACGATAAAGATCCCTCACTGCTCAATGGCCCTGAGTGCCGAGTAAAGGTCAAAATTTGAAGCCCTTCACCGGTATATGGTGACGTTTCTATATGAGTGAAAAATTCTCGAATGGGACGTAAAACAATATACAATCAATCAATCAATCAATCCAGTGATTAATTACTGTATATGAAAGTTCAAACCTCTTCGTGTAAGTGTTTTCATGGCAAAATGCATTCAGATTGCTTTACTCCTGTAAAGTTCTAATTTTTTTGATTACAGGTGAAAAAACTACACAGTGAGGAGAAACTGGAATCCCCTGAATCACCTCCTACCAAACAGAGGAGGAGGGGTGAAGAAGTGGTCCAGGGAGTTGTGTCACACTTATGTCCCGATTTGATTGGACAGCATGGCGGTCAACTATTTGTCCACTTTCAAAATAGATCGGAAAACCAGTTAGGACTACTGGGGTTTATTGTACAGGACACCAATGTAAGCTTTTCTAATACATTTTCATGCCCATATTGTTTTTGTCCTGTCCGTCTGTTTGTCTGTCTGTCTGTCTGCTGTCAACTTTAACCTTGCCAATCATGCCCCTGGATCGAAAGATCCCGGGGGTATATTGTTTTTGTCTTGTCTGTCTGTTTATCTGTTTGTCTGTCTGTTGTCAACTTTAACCTTGCCAATAACTTTTGATTGGTTGGCGTTATGACTTTCATATTTCAAATGTGTATTCCTTGTGACAAGACCTTTCTTTGGGTACCATCATATTTGACCTTTCACCTTGACCTTGGAGTTTGACCCACTTTTGCAAAATTTTATGAGACTTTAACCTTGGCCATAACTAGGGCTGCACGAATCAGAAAATTTTCGAATCGATTCGGTTCAAACAAAAACCTCGATTTTCGAATAATTTCAATTCGATTATAAGAAATAGAACCTATTTTATTTTTGTATAAAATTTGTAATGTTTGATAATTCAAAATAAATAATGAAACACACTTTTATTAGATTTATTAAGATAATATGGAATGTAAAGCCAAGAAAAGATAGGAAATACCTAATGTTCTAATTACAAAGTATGAACCAAGAATCAAATGTCTGAAATCAAATTATTAAAATACTGTCATTAGTTTTAAAAGAGAAAACATGCAAACAAATCTTTTAAACAAAACTTCCATGATTGCATATGCTAAACATAAAAGTATTGGTGATTTGCTTACAAAAGCTATTTTGCCACAATAGAAATTAGGGTTGGATCTGATGTGATTTAAATTTTTAATTCACCAACACGATATCAAACCGCCGAAACACATTGCTGTCGTAACAATACAGTCAATAATTAATTTCACATTTAAAATGATGTCATTATTAAAGAGAAATGCGAATTTTCGCAGCACTGTGTCATGTCCTCTAATTTCAAAATTGCGTCGCTGATAAGTGTGGCTTAAATGCACTAATCTTCTGTGCCATCTTTCTGGAAGAAGTCCCCTAGTTAGAATAATCTAACTGTGTCTCGGGACAACCGGGTCCGTAGAACATTTATCATTTTAACGATAGAACATTCTATCTAGTAGAAGTCCCTCGCCGACTTCTTCGCGGCCATTTTCGTGTTTTTGTTGGTTTTTGTTTACATTAACATGATCTGCCATCATTTCTTCCGATTAACCAATCAGAATGCACCTAATAACAGCGGATGTTAGTCAGAAAAAAATCAAACCTGAATGGAAAACCGGGGAAAACGTACCAAATCGAACCGAAAGATTTTAATTCGCGGTTAACCGATATTTCGGTTAATCGTGGCAGCCCTAGCCATAACTTCTGAACAGTTGGTGCTTGGGGTTTCAAACTTCACATGTGTATTCTTTGTGACAAGGCCTTCCTTCGGATACCAACAACTTTGACCTTTTGACCTTGACTTTGGAGTTTGATCTACTTTTGAAAAACTTTAACCTTGGCCATAACTTTTGAACAGTTTGATGCTTGTGGTTTCAAACTTCACATGTGTATTCCTTGTGACAAGACCTTCCTCTGGATATCAACCTCTTTGACCCTTTGACCTTGACCTAGGAGTTTGACCTACTTTTGAAAAACTTTAACCTTGGCAATAACTTTTGAACGGTTGGAGCTAGGGCTTTCATACTTCACAAATGTAATCCTTGTGACGAGACCTTCCTTTGGATACCAACAACTTTGACCTTGACTTGACGTTTTTACTTACTTTTGAAAAACTTTAACCTTTGCCATAACTTTTGAACAGTTGCAGCTAGGGCTTTCATATTTCATAGGTATATTCCTTGAGACAAGACCTTTCTTTGGGTACCAACATTTTTTATCTTTTGGCCTGGATTTTGACTTGCATTTGAGAAACTTTAACCTTAGCCATAAGCTGCCATACAGGGGCATCAGTGTTTCACAAACACAACTTGTTTTCTTATGTATTTATTAAAATTGGTATACTGCAGACATACTTCTTTCCACAAAGGATTAATTTATGCTGCATTTTCCAAGTGTACCCTAAAGTGTATGAAAGATAATGGGATCTTAAGAAATCAGTGTAATTTTCTATTAGTGACTACACAGAAGTTGTAAGTCAGTGGAATTATGACCCAGTGGAAAGAAATGTATTTACAGTAAAAGTACAGTTTACATCTAATCTTTCAAGGCAATTTCATCTTAAATATAATGTTCGGGGAAGCTTAAGAAGCAACGTACAGGGTTGTCATGGAAATCTGAATTCTCTCTGTTCATATACATTTTGCACATGATGTAATTTAATTTATATAAAGTAAATCAGTTTTTATTTGCGAGAACTTTTTTGCATAATTACATGAGACAGTCTGCTTGCAAAAGTTTCATTCTTGTGTATAATTGAATTCTTTTATGAAAGATTTTATACAGCTTAACAAAAATTCATGAAAAATTTGTTTCACCTATAAACACCAAACAAGACTCTCACAAAAATAAGTTGTCTCGAAAATTAAGTGATCTACAGTATAAGGCTACATAAATTAATGTTTAGACTTTCATCCTAGTCTGCAAAAAAATATGGGACAAATGGTTGGAATTTATTTTTTATCCTGTAGTGAGTAAAATAACTTAATGTAATTCTGTAAAACAAGTGATGTGTAAATGGGAAGGGGGGGGGGTGAGAGGGAAGGGCAGGGAAAGAATGTAAATATCAATTTTTTTTATAAACTAATTTCACACATTTTTTGTAAACTAATTTTACACATTTTTTGTAAACTAATTTTACACATTTTTTTCTTACTTTCTTAGGTGACTTTTACTCACTTTTCTTGTGAAGATGAAGACTATGACCTCATGATAAAGGGGAAGGCTGCTTTTCCAGAGGGGTCAAATCCAGTGATAAAATTCAGCAGGCCCTACAACTACTTAAAATCTGAGGACAGACTCCACATTATACAACCTCTTCTCAAACTTGGATTTGTACAGTCCATACTGTAAAGACTCATACTGAATATAAAATTGTATGTACATGCTTGTGAGATGAAAAAGTTTTTTGCAAGTAGCTGTATGAAATACAGTTTTATGATCTCATATTATGCTTTGATCATTATTTTTTATTATCACCCCTTGGAAGATGGGATGTCATTTGAACTTTATAATCTCATTGCATAAAATAACATTATTTTTTATTTTTCTGAAATGCCTGATAACCCAGAATAAAACGCAGACTATATTATGGCAAAGTATTCTTACAGATAGAGAGAATAGCAGAGATAGAAAATAATCAGAGGAAATTCTGGTTAAATTGAAGTCATGAGTTATTTTTCTTGATATAATGAGGTATTGTTAGCAGTGAGCTCACAAAATGATACCCCCTGCTCTCATATAAGTACAATGGCAAAGTTGATTTGCTGTGGGAAAGCCCAAATATCTCTCTGATCAAAATATAAAGTTGGAGGTGCACAATGGCACTATGTAATGAGTATCGTTAACATTTATTCAGAGATATACAGGAGGAGTTGTCGAAAAGAAATGGGTAGCCCAGATAATGTAGAAAGAATGGTAGTGTACATGTTTTGCCATGGGAAACATGAAATATGTCTGATCATAGAGTAAATTAGGAGGTCACAATGGCACCATGAAATGGTGTATAAAAGATTTTATTATACTTCTGTTAAAATGTTTCCTATATAAAGTTAGAAATAAAAATAACTATCTTTATAGTCTCAAAATTTCCACACATAGCAAAGCTATACCCCGGGGTATAGTTTTTGATATCCACACCTCGGAAAATTTTCATGCAATTTTTGCCGCCAATTTTGATTTCCTGTAATCAATCTATAGACTTATGATGTCATCCTGACTTCAGTAGCATTGTGACGTCATCAGGATTTCAGCTCATTCTAGCAGTGTTATCTTATTCCAAATACTAGCTAGTTCAAAACTTTTATAATTATTTTTTTTCCATGTTTTTACTATCGGACTGTAGTAACAGGTAAATCCAACTCTCGGTAATTATGATATACATCAGTATAATAAAACGCTTATCCACTGGCTGTGAGTGGGATAGCTCTTTCATCAAACCCTTGACAGGAACTATTCCCCTCGGGCAAGCCCTCGGGGAATAGTTCCTGTCGCGGGTTTGATAGAAGAGCTATCCCACTCACAGCCAGTGGATAAGTGTATATTGTTAAAGTATCACTAAATTTTATTCAGTTGTAGGGGAGGTGTTGCGGATAAGAGATGGGTGCCTCAAAGCGTAACAGACAGACAGACACCCCCATTATTATACACAACTGCTTGAAAAGCGGGGGTATAATAAAGACTGGATATATACATTTAAAAAAAAGACATCTCGGGCAACAAACAAAGTTGAGAAAAATATTGACCATGGCAAAGCTTTCATGGACAATATGACTTAATCTTTGCATTTTCTGTTTCAGTAAACATTACATTTAGGAGAAAGAAAGTTGAACTCTTATAATTGTTGAGTACAAATTGTTCTTTCTTGAATGAAATGGAAGTGTTGCGTCCTTCTGATCAAACATTTATTCTAAGTAAAAAAAAACGAGAGCTTTTAATTACATTCACAAAAATATGTGAAAACATTTACATTGTAAATGTTTCCACATACTTTTGTGAATGTAGTTAAAAACATTCGCCTTTTGAAGTCGTCACAGTGAAATATCCTTTACTACGGGTGATCAATCCATGGCTCAAGGACTGCGGCAGCAGAGAACCATGAGTAGTGTGGTTAGGAAACTTTTCAAAGAATTGTTGTTACAACACGCAGGGGAATTGGCAGCATTGAAGCAAAAAATTAACTTTCATTTCACAATGCATGGATCAAGGTGTAAATCTCTCATATTTCGAGAGGACACAGGCAGGAACATTTGAACGATCCACGGAAAAGATTAAACTGAACAACCCACATATAGGAACATTTTTTAGAAGAGCACAAGACTGTAGAGACTGAAATGAATTCACTACAACAGATGTCATTCTCTTCTACTATATCAGTTGCTATATTTATAAAACAAATCTTTAAATCCAAAGATCAATCAAGACTATACATCACATACATCTCATGGGAGCAAATCACACAAGTCGAATCTTTTGCGAGTCAGTTCAAAACTTCCCTAGACACTATCCAAGCAAAGGGTGACAACCTGTGCTCACATGAGGTATGCTTTTGTTTTGTTTGTTTGTTTATTATTAAACGCCCCTCTTGAGAATTTTTCACTCATATGGAGAATCCACCACTTGCCGGTGGAGAGCTGCAAATTTTGATCTATACTCAGCACTCGGGGCCATTGAGCAGTGAGCACCTTTTTCGTGCCAGTACCTACTGCGACATGGGACCACGGTTTCTTACAGTCTCTTCCAAAGGACCGGTCTCCACGACCCACAGTGGGATTCGAACCCACAACATAAGGATCAACTCCTTGCTCCGCGACTCTAGAGCAAACTCTCTAACCACTGTGCCACGCAGGCAACACATGAGGTATGCAAAAGAGGAAGCAGAACTGATCAAACAAGAAGCTGCTATTAAGACCAGCAGAACTATGTTAACTTGTAAGAAATAATTGGAAGCAGAAGCACAAGGCCTTGAAGCTTGAATTCTCTGATGTTAGTGAAAATGCATCCAGGGACTCTGAAGGCAGAAATGAAACACAAGAAGCAGACAAGCTGACAAAGAGACATGTTAAGGAGAAGGTGAAAGTTACAATTCCTCCACCTGATCTATTGATTTTTGAAAACGTGCCTGGAAGACCTGGATGCTGTCAAAAATCAAATGATCCCATCAAGACTTTGGAAATTCAGTGGTGAATGTTCACGGTACTTGACATGGAACCACAGTTTCTTGAGTGTGATGAAGGACATTAATTCAAACACATACTAGTAAGAGCATTTGGATCTTTTACTGAATAAATTTGGACAAGTGTGCAAAGTGCAGTGGGAAAATATAAGATCTACAAATGCTCATTTGGAGAGGGCGCTAACACAAACCTGGGAGAGACTTGACCTGTAGTATGGGAGCACAGTCGCTTTGGAACATTCAATAAAGCAAGGCATTTCCAGTTTTCTTTCTCTTAAAGAGAATTATATAAAAACGTTATTTTGATCTGGCAGAAGTGGGGTCATTGAAAAGTGATCATTCATTTGGATCAGCCTTTGCATGCTTTGATTTGTGATCTGCGAAAAATGAGTCTGTCAGAAAATTATCTAAGCGTTTCAGTGAGAAATGGGCAACTACATGTGACAATTACAAAGTTGACAACAGAGTATCATATGTGGATTTCTCAGTATTTTGTGAAATTCCTCTGAGATCTCGGTCGACTTAATAGACCCTAGATTAATGTTGGAGAACTTATCGTGCACAGGAAAAAGACAGACATTCTTGTTCACAAAACAAGAGCAACTGATCATTATGAGAACAATGACTGTGGTATGTACAGTGTGAGATGTCCAATCCATAGTGGAAATTCCAGTTCTATAGGATTGTCAAAAACTCCGTAAGCAACCTACAAATAGAGTAAATTTTCTTTCTGCAAAAGAATATTGCCTGAAATGTTGTGGACAAAAGCGCCATTTGAAAAGAAACTGTAAGGAGTCGGTCAAGTGTGAACTTCACAAATCAATTGAACATGTTACTGTTTTTCTTCCAGACTCTGCACCTGCACCTGGGAAAGGTTCAAGAGGGGGAACGGTCTGAAGTGAATTTGTGTTGCATAGACATACACAAAACACCTCAGATCAGCAGCAAGTCCTGCTAAAAATCGTGTTAGTGGTGTGTTTCCAGAGGGAGAGGAGCATCTAGAACGGAAAGTTAAGTGTTTAATAGACAATCAAAGCAAAGATCCTTAGCATCGTCCACATGTTTGGATGCATTCAGTGAGTCTGGTCCGGAGACGGAATACATACTATCAACATGTGCAGGAAGGTCTGTGACATCTGATCTGGACGAAAGGCATCACGATATGTAGTACGTTCACTTAATGGATCATGCAGTCTTAGACATCCAAGTCTTATTGAATGCAACGAGATACCCGACAATAGAAACGAGATACCATCTAAGACAGTGGTACTTACACTTCAAGGACATAGAGAACTGTGTTACTGAGCTTGATGATAATGCTTATATTGAACTTTTAATACATGTAGGTCGCGATCTCATTTCAGCACACCATGTATTGGATCAAAGAGTAGGAGGAGATGACTTGCCTCTCAGTCAAAGACTACATATGTACCCCTGGGTTTGGTAATCATTGGTAATGTTTGATTAAGCAAGGCCCATCAACCTTAGATTGTTGGAGTTTTTAAGACATCTGCACTATACCAATTGGACGAGCCTCATTTATGACTCCTTGCGAAAGTGATATTTCTGTGAGAAGTGCTGTTCAGATATCTTCCAACGCTCAAAATGAGATGAGAAACCAGACCTCTCCGATGACAGTAAGTTTCTTCACATCATGGAATCAGGCTTCCGTAGATCAAGTGATGGTTTTTGGGAGGCATCTCTACAATTTCAGGATAGTAGGCAAATTCTACCAGATAATCGCCCTATGGAGTTGCGTAAAGCTAATTCTTTGATGCCAACTTGCACTCCAATACCATCAAGAAAAAGCAAGTGATTGACTTCACTGGAGAACGGACTATTTGCATCACTTACAAGAGCGTAAGAAGTTGCAAGAACATTCCAGAAACGTTAAGGTTGACAATGTTATCTTAGTCAAAGTTGACGAGTGTAGACGCAATGAATGACCTACAGGAGTTATTCATAGAACATATGACTATAATGAGAGAAGTGATGGACTTGTTAGGAAGGTGAAAGTTGCCGTTATAATGGACAAGAAACGTACATTGTATAAATGTTAAACTGGTAACTTATCTTTTTTACTCTTTTTGGAAGTTACTAAATGAGTAATAACTAACCTGTTTGTGAAGATGTTGTTAGATACAGCCCCCACTTTTTTTTTGCAAAGATAGACATAAGATAGGCATTAAACACTGGGGCATAGGTTTAGCCCCCCCCCCCCCCCCCCACACACACACACACACACTCAACAGGCACATTGCAGTGTAATCAAAG